CTCATTATCACAAAGAACATGCAACTCTTTTTCATGAAAGCCATAGTTATTTAACATATGTTGCATCCAAAAGAGTTGAGTGCAACAGCTACCTACAGCTATGTATTCACACGCAGCATTAGATAAGGAAATGGAATTTTGTTTCTTACTGTACCAAGATACCAAATTGTTACCCATGTAGAAACAACCTCCTGTGATGTTTTTTCTGTCATCCACATCTCCTGTCCAGTCAGCATCACTGTTCCCTGCAAGACAATTGTTAGTATCTTTTGAATACCATTTTCTCAATTCGGGTGTTCCACTAACATATCGGATAATGCGCTTTACAGCACTCAAATGACTCTCTTTAGGGCTTGCTTGGTACCTAGCACAAATACCTACCCTGAAACGAATATCATATCTGTTAGCAGAAAGATAAAACAAACTTCCTATCAAGCTCCTGTATAGTGTGGAATCATCGTATGTGCCATCACAATCTCGTCCCAACTTCTCAATTGAGGTCATTGGTGTTGTTAAAGGCTTTGCCTTTTGCAACCCAAATTTACTTACCACGTTCTTGGCATATTTGCTCTGTGAGATAAATACCTCATCCTCTAGTTGCTTTACCTTGTCATTGCTCAGAACCAGTTCCCACATGTCATTTCGAGAAAACTGCTCAAGTTCCTCAAGCTTGGCTAACACCCAAAATTCATCAAGAATTGCTTCTTTGATGTTTTTTGGTTCAACAGTGGAAGTGAGATAGACATACCTGACCATTTTCTGGTAGTCAACCTTGGGCTTATTACAAGTTTTCATACCTTCTTTACCAGGGGTAACATCTTCAGTTGTGACATAAGATGTCGGTACTGATACTTCTGTGATTTTGTCTTCTGGTATTTCTCTTCCAATACTCTCAGTTTGTTTCCCCATTAGAAATTTGCCACATAAATCTGGTGTATTGGAGTTTAGTTGGGGAACACCTTTCACACAACCTGCATTAATATTTCGTGTTAGATCCTGAAAATTCAAATTCCCCAGTCGATGACAGCACATATCTGTGATATCAGAGGTGGTGAGGGGACACTGTTCAACTTGGTCAGTTTGATCAATTTTATAACAATTATCAGAGGATCTATAACCAGATAGAACACACATGTGGTTTCGATCAAACACTTCACACTTACGCTTGGTGAACAACACTGAGTCGTATAGATCACATAGCTGACTTACGCTGAGTAGGTTTGATTTCAAACCCTCTACATACAGAACGTTGTCAAGGTTAGGTAATCCTCCAACATCCAAGTTACCTTCTCCTTTCACAAAGGCCTTGTTTCCATCACCAAGAGTAACTTGTCCACCAGACACATTATGCAGGTTCTTCAAGTAATTAGGTACACCTGTCATATGCTTGGAGCAACCACTATCAAAATACCAAGAGTTAGTAGTACATGCTTTTAAAGAAAGAATAGCAGGAAAGCAGTTTGCATTATACTTATTCATCCATTTATTATCAGAGTATCTTCTTTGGGAATTGTGATCCCATACAGCGGAATTGGATGATTGATATGCTAAACTCTTATTTATCAATTTCCATCTTTTAAAGCATTTTGGCCTAACATGTCCTACTTTGTGACAGAAATGACAAGTTGGCACAAACTTTTTTGTATAAGACTGTGAGGCAACATGTTGTGAAGTAGGTTTGACAGTATTATTCACAAAATTAATTTTTCGATTTGGATTAGGTTTACTATCGAACTTACTCCCAATATAGCCAAGACCAAGTTTATCAGGATTTGAGGGATGAGCATTTAAAATTTCATCTAACCTTTTTGAAGGAAGAATCGTAGTGCGATTTAACTTACTGACTGACGCCTCTAACGTTGTTGCGACAGGGGAGTTGTCACACTTCAGGTTGAGGCAGGGTTCAGCAGTTTTCATTGAATGAGGATTTTTCTTGATCTGCCTTGTCTTATTGCAATCGTTGTTTCGCAAATGTCTCAACAATTCTTTTAGATTGTCAATATCTTTCAAAGCAAAATCATGTTTTACCTCCAGTGCCTCATTTTCCAACTCAAGCTCATCGATTTTGGCCTTCAGGTTGACTTTAACTGCTTCATTCTCCTCTTCCAGTTCCTTTACTTTCTCCTTCAAACGCTTGTTTTCATCACTAACCTCATGACATTGCTTTAGAAGATCATTCAGTTGCTGTTGAATCATCTCAATGGAGCATTCTTCATCATCCTCTGAATCTTCTTCTCCTGTGGGCAAAAAAATTGTGTTTAAATTTCTATGATTCACGAGATTACGAGTAGCATACCTGAGGTGTGGTGGTTCAGTGCATGTGACAACATCTTGTGTCACGTCAGTAACCCTGCATGTACCACAGAAGTCAATACTAGTTTCAGCATCACTTGCTTCACTTTCATCATCAGATTCAAAGTTATCGTCACTCCAGGTTGTAGCAAGTGATTTTCCTTGCTTCTTCTGAGTGTTTGCACATTCAGATTGAATATGACCATAGCCACGACATTCTCTATATCGAATCCCCTTCCTAACTTCTCGCTTGTTTGTAGGACTTCTGGGATGTCCATTCATTTTCACGAGTTCTCCGAAGTTTTTGGCTATTAGAGACATGGATTTTGTAAGCTTGACTTCGAGTGCTGTCATGGGAGCTGAGGGCACGGATGGTGTCACAACAGACACAGTTTGTAAAGCGATTTTTCTCTCTTTATCCATTCTACTGATGTTCAGCTTGTTTTCAAAGGTCTGTAGATTTCCGATCAGATCTTCAAGCCGCAATGAGTCCACATCACTTGCTTCCTCTATAGCAGTGACCTTATATGCGAACCGGTCTGGCATAGATCTCAGCACTTTACGAACAAGTTTTACTTCAGGGTAAGTTTCACCGAGGCCATGGGCTTCATTTGCGATGTCGCATAATTTGGAGTTGAAATCGCTCACGGTTTCAGTTTCCTCCATCCGAAGATCCTCAAAACGAGTAGCAAGCATCTGAAGTTTTGATAATCTAACAGAGGTAGTCCCCTCATAGGCTGTTTGAAGTTTTTCCCATGCTTCCTTGGCACACTCACACGCTGAGATGATTTTGAATTGATTGATATCAATTCCATTGAATATGGCATTCAATGCTTTGGAATTCATATTTGCGGCAATCTGTTCAGTTTTGCTCCAGTCTTTTTCATGTTTCTCAGTTTGAATTCCTTTTTCATCTGTGGCAACAGGTCGTTTCCAGCCAGTCAGAACTGTGCGCCATGCATCTTCATCCATTGACTTGATGAACATCTTCATCTTGGTCTTCCAATAAGAGTAATTGGTTCCAGTAAGCAGTGGTGGGCGAGTCGTGGAACCGCCTGCCATATGAGCATTCATAGTACCTATGGAAGAAAATGGCAAATAAATCAAATTCCCAAAATCACACACTATGTTTATCTAGTGAGAGGCTCTTGATGCCAATTGTTGATTTATATGCCTATAGAAATCAATTAACCTAAGTTGTAACAGTTAAGTTGTGGAAACAGTATTCAGTTACAACTATAATTCTTGTGTTAACACAGTTATAAACTACTTAAAGCAAATAAATGAACACAAGGAATTAATGTGGTTCAGACACAAATGTGCCCTACATCCACGTGGACCTGCAAACACGATTTCACTAGTTCAGATTTACAGTGTACATTAATAGGACTTATTAAAAACACTAAAGACTCCCTCTTTATGTAATATGCCGTTCTTGTACACAACTCGAACTTCGTGTTTCTTCCAACAGCAGCTCCACCCGCGTGCCTTGAACTTTCTTCAAGCCTGAACTCCCTTCAGAAAACGCGGCTGATCTCCCTTGAGATCTATACAGCAAATCTGTATATGTTGGCACAGTGCAACGATGGCACAGTCCTGCTCCGCAGAACGCCTTGGCAAAACTTCGATGCTATGAAGAGGTTTTTCTCCCAAATAATGCCCACGGTTCTTGTATGTCTTGGAGGCTTATATAGCCACGAAAATAAGCCCTAAGACCTAACTTGAACCCCAAGAAATCTATTTAACTAGGTAATAGAATCCTAGTTGATTTCTACTTCTATTCTAGATAAGTACAAAAGATACCTAACTAGAATAAAATACATGGAAATAAATCTAAGTCCTAATAGAAGTATTATGAGAATAGGACTCTAATAAATTCCAAAATAAATATGGAAAACAAATCTTTGCCAATCTTTTAATTCCAAAACTTGGCGGATTTCCTCGATCTTCAATAGCCGGAAATATGGCGCCAACAGTAAGTTTTATACCTAATTAACTTTGAGCTTAGTAAGCATAATAATATTGGATCACGTTAAACTCGAAGCCCAAATATTTATACAAGTCCAACAACTTGTCAAATCGACCCATCGATACTGTATATATGGGGATATATTATATATTGAACTAACAATTTATGCAAAATTGAGTTATTGGTTATTTCTTTCATTTTGGTACTCCATAATTAATTGTGATCATAAATCCAACCACTTATTATGATTAGTTACGTTATTGTAAAATTTATTGAATTAAATTAATCTATTTATAGATATATTATGATGTGGTAAACCTGTTACTTCAATACCACTTATTGCATGTGTTTGGTGTGTGGTTGAAATATGAATATACTTATTCATCTTCCACACCTATATATTATTCAACTCCTAATTAATACTGTATACCTGGTAGCGGGGTTATATTTAATTATTAATTATTATAGACATATTTTTAAATTAATTAATAAAGATTATTAACTTATTAAATTTAATTATTTATTTGTCTCCACGTAAGCTTTGAAAAAATAAATATAAAAAAACTCTATAAAAAGGTAAAGAAATAAGAACACTTCCCCCTCTGCAACTATTCTCAGTTCTTCGAAATTGAAGCCACAAAATTCACTTCTCTTTTTCTCCGATCCTCAAAAAACACACACACACGCACGCAGTGCAGTAATTTATAGATATATAGATATATATATGTATAAAGCTATAATGGAGGGTTTTGATTATTATAATGATAATAACGTGAAGAAGGAAGAGAAGTATGCAGGATTGATCGGCGGCGGCGGCGGCGTCGGAGAAATCAAGAAGCTGCTTCGAGTTGTTGAAATCTGCCTGGTTCTTGTTTCGGTGACGTGGGCAGCCAGCCGGCTGCCTTTCGCCGTTAGAATCTCCGGCGAGTACTTCCGGTGGCTGGTGAACGTCGTCGTCAGCCATCTATTCGTTTTCCTCCTCGGCAATGCCATAATCCTCATCCTCTTCTTCAAATCCCGCCACCTCTTTCTCCAGCAGGATAGTAATATCATTACCCAATCCCAGATCGCCGTTTTCTGCCACGAATTCATCGACAACAGTGACGCCGGCGCCGGCGACGACGCCGGTATGTCTAGGCCGGAGGAGATAGTTGTGTACCAAGACAAGCAGACAATTCTCGAAGTGGTTAGAGTTCACCGGAGGAGTCAGTCGTCGGAGAATTTAAGGGTTTCAGATGCAGGTGGATGTGAGAAGCAGCTGCGGCGGTCGGAGACGGAGAAGCAGCGGAAGGTGGTGGTGGAGGAGACGGCGGCGGCGGAGGAGAATGTGGAAGTGGTGGATGAATTGAGCAATGAGGAGTTTCAGAGAGCGATAGATGCATTTATTGCTAAGCAAATTAAGTTTCGTCAACAAGAAAAGCTTGCTATTGTTCCTCATCATGGCGCCTGCCTTTGAATTTTATTATGTTTTGTAATTAACTAATTTCCATATTTTTTCGGTGAGTTAATATTTTTAATGTTTAATGATTTTAATATTTATATAACTTTGTTTATTCTTGGGGCAAATTACGGTCACCTCTGAGTATGGTCAAATTACGAAAATCCTTCAACTATATATGTAGTATATTAAGAAAAACTCCTTCCAGAGGTAAATTTAGGGATGTTAAATAGGTAAAACAGGACCAGAAATTTCGGTAAGCCAACATTTGATACCGTTTACCGAACTGAATATACAATTTGATTCATTAAATAATCGAATTACATAATTTTTTATGTAAAAATATTTAAAATGAGAAGATGACTGTAATTACTCAAACAAGATAATTTTTTTTTTAATTTGATCATATCTCACAGGTACCCGTAATTTGCCCTTATTCTTAATATGAATTTGAAGAACAATGAGACAAGTATTTACTATATATCCACATATAAAAATTACACGTAACAATGATTTCCACGGTTAATTAATCATATATTCTATTAGCAATTTAAGTTTTCGGTTGAAATAGTCATTCGTCACGGTGTTAAAGTAAATCCAAATGAAATATTCTGAGTTCGAATCTTATTTCTACCCGTGTTTCAAGTGCAGTTATTTTTGTTATTAATCACTAAATCACCTCATATTTTTTCAATTTTTTAATTTTATTTTTAGTTTATTTATCAAAAGTAACTTTAACTTTAGGAAAATGGGAGATTAGATTCTTGATGAAGATAATTCAACTTTTCTTGCCTTATTTTCCATTATTTTATTTTTAATTAAGCATAATGATTACCATTTCCACTATGAGTAGGAATTAGGGTTTGTTAATATTAATTTAGATTATCACACAACACTAAAAGAGGTTGAAACAACACTTCTTAGTCCACATTGTCAAAACCTTTGGCCCATCACAAATATAATTGTGCAACTGAAAAACTTTAGCCATTAATTATATGTATTTGAAATAAATAAAAAAATTAAAAACAGGGCTTTTTATTTCTCTATTTATAATTTGTTCTTTCTGCATCGATCATTGTGCTTGTTCTTGCAAGAAAAAAGGACAATGATATATACAATTGTAAGGTGTACGTAATTTCACCTCAGGCTGTCAAGACTTCCTCTTTTATGTTCATTTATTTCCTTTTGTGCCTCATGAATCATGATGCAATTGAAATATATCTCAAATGATTGTATACAAAAGGAATTGATGTGAAATCGAGCAAAATTCGAATTCAAAAAACTCGACTAAGAACACTCAAATTTCATGATACCATTTTCTCATTGCAGCTAATTCTTAAAATCATTGTTTTTTGGATAAATTACACTTACATCCTTGAGATACGCTAAAATAACTTTAAGCTCCCTGCAGTATCGGTAATTACAATCATTCTTGAAATATTGTTAAAAATCCTAGCAGAATAATGCATTTGATAAGTTATTCCGTGGGGTTCGAACGAACTATTAGTTTCAGGCGGTGGTAGAGACAATATAGAGCTAGAGGGTGACATGGATCTCATAACATTTTTTAAATTTTTATTATTTTATATAAAATTTATAAATTTTCATATGTGGTAGCATTAACGGCCCTGCAGGAGACAAATATAGTGCATATCGATCCCCATGACATAAAATTTTGGCTCTGGTAATTGTTTCAGAAGTGTGGCTATAGTTACCAATACAACAGAGACCTCAAAATTATTTTAGCATATCACAAGGGTGTATGCATAATTTACCTTAATTTTTCTATATCTAGTTTAGGTTGTACTATAAGTTATGATTTACGCATTTTTATTTAAAATAATACAATATCTTCATAGATTCTTCTTACTATTATAATTCTCAACCATGTTGAAAAATGAAATATTGTATGATTTGTTGATAATTCTTAAGTAACTATATAAGTTATTATTGTATTATTAATTTATTTCAATCAATATAATTCGACTTTAATATTTATTAAGAATTTTATGCACTTTTGAGAGGCTTGCATGTTGGCCCATTATTTAATTTATTAGTGTCGTTGGCCCAATAGCCATCATCCTTAATTAGCCCATTATTTATTTAGAGGCCAGGTGTCAAAAAAACAAAAAACAAAAAACAAAAAACAAAAAAACAAAAATAGAATACGGAATTAAAATAGGCCAAATTTCACTTTCCGATTGTACTTTGGCTCGGGATCACTTTGCCCCTTCTACTCTCGATTGCATCGATTTGCCCCCTGCACTTGAAAAATTGTCTCAATGTGGCCCTAATTGTTAGTTTTCATACATTTGACATTAACACCGTTTGGTCTAAGCTCTAAAATTAAAAAAACACCACTCATCCCAGTTTAAATAATTCTAAAAATAAACAAAATAAAAAGTAAAGGAAAAAAATTGAAACAACGAGAAAGCATAGTCCACGGTGGCAACCACAAATTATTTTTATTTTTTTAAATTTTATTTAATAATTATTTAAATTAGGAGAAATAGTTTTTTTTTGTAGTTTTCAGACCTTAGATCATACGGTGTTAAAGGAGAAAAAGTTTGAAAACTAACGGCGAGGGCTATATTTGAGACAATTTTTTAAGAGCAGGGGTAAACCGATTCAATAAATCGAAAGTAGAAGGGGGTAAAATGATATGGAGCCAAAGTACAAGGGGGAAAAGTGGAATTTATCCATTAAAATATTACCAATATTCCAATTAATCAAAAAGCGTGAATAAGGTTCATTTCTGAATAGTCGTTATTCTTTTCCCAGCGACTTCCTAACCAATCGGCCAAACGATCTTTCGCCAGTTCTGATATTTCTCGAATCTCCGAACTAATACGAAAATGGCGACTGAGCAGAACACTGTGCAAGTATTCTGCATTGGAACTGCTGATACAAAGCTGCAAGAGCTTCGATTCCTCGCCCACTCAATTCGTTCCAATCTCCAACTCTTTTCCCCAAATTCTTCCTCAAAGGTGCTGATTCCTCTCCTCTTTGCTCGATTCTGTTTTTTGTTTTTGTTTAATTTGTTGTTGTAGAAGTGCTGTTCATTCTGGACGAATGTGTTTTTTTTCTCTCTCTGCGTAATAATTGAATCACAAGTACTGTGTGTATTTTTCGCAGTTGCTAGTGACAGTGGTGGATGTATCTGCAAGTCAGAAAAATGTCGAGGGTTGTGACGATTTCAAATTCGTGTCGAAAAAAGATGTTCTCTCTAGTTGTTCTGTATCCGGGGAACAAATTGATACCTTTCTTCCAGATGACAGAGGCAAAGCAATTTCAGCCATGAACAAGGCGCTTCGATTTTTTCTGAATAAATCCCACGGTGATGGTGTTCTTGCTGGAGTTATAGGATTGGGCGGTAGTGGCGGGACATCTTTAATTTCATCTGCATTTAGATCCCTCCCCATTGGAATTCCAAAGTTAATTGTGTCAACTGTGGCAAGTGGCCAAACTGAACCTTATGTTGGAACATCTGATTTGGTGTTGTTTCCTTCGGTTGTCGATATTTGTGGAATTAATAGTGTGAGTAGAGTTGTATTGTCGAATGCTGCTGCTGCTTTTGCTGGAATGGTGATTGGGCATCTAGAAACTTCTAGAACTTCTGCTAGTAGTGGTGGTCCTGCTTGTGAGAAGGGTACAGTTGGTATAACTATGTTTGGGGTTACTACTACGTGTGTCGATGCTGTTAAAGATAGATTGGCTCGAGAAGGGTACGAGACTTTGGTTTTTCATGCTACCGGAGTTGGAGGGAGGGCTATGGAGGATCTTGTTAGAGGAGGATTTATACAGGTACTTTTTTGGCGTTTACTATGGCTATTGTATTTGCATGTCGTGACTGAAACTATGTTAAATTGTTGTTTTGATGCTTGGATGAAGATACTTGTTTAGTTTATGGCTTCAAATAATTTGAAAATAAATGATGTTGACTACCTTTTGATTGGTTATCGATGTTCTTGATTGTCGACTACCTTTTGAATCTTTCTGTACTTTAGGGTGTTTTGGATATTACAACAACTGAGGTGGCAGATTACATAGTTGGAGGAGTCATGGCATGCGAGAGTTCCCGTTTTGAGGCAATGTTAGAGAAGAAGGTACCTTTAGTTCTTAGTATCGGAGCATTGGATATGGTCAATTTTGGACCCAAAAACACCATACCACCGAAATTTCAGCAAAGAAAGATTTACGAACACAATGAACAGGTGATAATTTTCTCGCACTCTGTTTGTCCTTTTCTCTCTTTAGCCTTTGACATGTTATAAACTTATCCAAAAACGATGTCTAGACTTTGCTGAAATGCCTCGTGAGATAGTTTCTTTGGACTATAGAAGTTGTACAAGAAAATATAGCTGTGAGCATATATAGTACATGGACTATAATTGTTCTTTACTCAGGTTACACTAATGCGCACAACTGTGGATGAGAGTCAGAAATTTGCTGCATTTATTGCGGACAAGTTGAACAAGTCATCATCTAAGGTTTGTGTATGCCTGCCAAAGTCTGGAGTGTCTGCTTTGGATGCACCAGGCAAGCCCTTTTATGATCCTGAAGCTACTGGTTCTCTTATAGAAGAAATACAGAGGCTAATCGAAACCAATGAAAATCGACAGGTTCCATCAGTGCTCATCGTATAAAGTATTAATAGTTGCCAGCATTTTCTATTTGCTCGGGTCTCGTGTCAGTATATGCTCATTCAAATAGTAGTTTATTTTATTAATAGGTTAAAGTTTCCCCACATCATATTAATGACCTGGAGTTTGCGAATGCACTAGTGGATTCATTCTTGGAGATCAGTACGAACTTTGAGGGTGATAGTAGTCAAGCTGTCTGTGAATCTGCCCAGGAAACTCGAAACAAAATTTCAGCCCCTCAGCCAAGTTCTCAGAACATTACACCTGTTCAATATAGCCTGAGCAGCTTCCCTGATGCAAACCCAGGTTGTTACCTCTCTCCTCCCCCTTGAGTTGGTATTCCTTTGACTCTCTGAATACTATTCAGTCACATTTTAAAAGTACTGGTGCATTGGTTATTCCATTTTAGATGCAACCGCAATAGATGGCTTTATCATTTTAAAATAATTGGTATATTGGAGCAGAAACACTGAAACGAACAAGGGAAATACTGCAGCAATTGAAGCATCAAATACACGAGGGCAAACCCATTATTGGTGCTGGTGCTGGGACAGGCATATCAGCCAAGTTTGAGGAAGTTGGCGGAGTGGATCTGATTGTCTTGTACAACTCGGGTCGTTTTAGGATGGCAGGAAGAGGGTCCTTGGCAGGATTACTGCCATTCGCTGATGCAAACGCAGTCGTACTTGAAATGGCCAACGAAGTGTTGCCTGTAAGTATTTCATTTACCTATTTAGAGTTCTTGAAGTTGTCTTAGACAGGTCATCAATAGTCAAAGTTTCACCTCGTGTTTTATTTAATAACATATATCCAATTTTGCTCGTGTTAATGGGTTTAGGTTGTGGAAAAAGTTCCAGTTCTTGCTGGAGTTTGTGGAACTGACCCATTTCGAAGGATGGATTTCTTCCTAAAGCAATTGGAGTCGATTGGATTCTGTGGGGTGCAGAACTTTCCAACTGTTGGGCTATTCGACGGTAATTTTCGACAAAATCTAGAAGAAACAGGAATGGGATATAGGTAAAATCTTTAAAAGTTAGTGACTTCTTTCTTTCTATTCATAATTTCGACAAATATTCATCCAAAATTTTCTTTTTCTGAGTAAATGATCGTTTCTTTATTTCAATTTTTCAGTTTGGAGGTTGAGATGATTGCGAAAGCTCATAAAATGGGCTTCTTAACAACACCATATGCTTTCAACCAAGAAGAAGCAATAGCAATGGCAGAAGCCGGTGCTGACATCATCGTAGCACACATGGGGCTCACCACATCGGGTTCGATTGGTGCAAAAACAGCTGTCTCGATTGAACAAAGCGTTGTCCTTGTACAAGCTATTGCAGATGCTGCTCATAGCATCAATCCCGATGCAATCGTTCTTTGCCACGGAGGTCCTATATCTGAACCGAAAGAAGCAGAATATGTGTTGAAGAGAACAAAAGGAGTTCATGGATTCTACGGCGCATCCAGTTTGGAGAGGCTGCCTGTTGAACAAGCAATAACTACTAGAGTGCAACAGTACAAATCTATATCTCTCACTTAATAAACTCTATTGTCTCTATAATGTATCATCTTTTCAGTTTGTTTTATTACCAAATTCCCCAAAATAAAGAAATTAAAGTAAATTTCTCTTTGGCTATGAGCTATGATTGTGAAAAATAATATATTGATTTTTGTATTTTGCACCATGGATAAAATATCATTGAAAAGATAAAGTAAAAGTAGGTTCATCAACTCTTAAAAATTCATTTTAGAGTCCAATTTGAATGATTTATTGTATTTTGAGGGTACAAAATGCTATTAAATTGTTTTGATGGTGCAAAGTGCAAAAATGCTATATTTCAAGGGTGAAATGTAGAATTAAGCTAACTTTCACCAACCGTAGTCTTTTTAAGTGTGCTTTCTCTCTCACACACGAAAATTCCCCCCAAGTTCATCAATCCCCAAAAATGAAAAAACTAGTATAAAATTATCAAGAAACCCAACTCCATTAGCTCAGAGTCAACAAAGAAGAAAAAAGAAATGGCCGAATCGGAATCCAAACTAGCCACAGCCAAGACCATCCTCTCCGCCGTGGGATCCATCGCCGCCACCGCCGTGGTTGTCCGCGGCGTCGCCGGAGATCTCCTCCCCCCAGAATTCCACGACTACATCCTCTCCGGCTTCAGAACCTTCTTCAGCAGATTCTCCAACCAGCTAACAATGGTGATCGACGAGTTCGAAGGTTTGGACAGCAACGAAATCTACGAAGCCGCCCAAGTGTACCTCGGCACCAAAATCAGCCCCACCACGCGCCGCCTCAAGATCAGCAAACCCGCCAAAGAAAATCACTTCAACATCACCATTGATAAAGACGAACAACTCACAGACACCTTCAATGGAGAGAAATTCAAGTGGGTTTGGATCTGTAAAACCAAATCGAAAACTTATTACCACCACAGACACACCAACACCAACTCCACCGAGGCGAGATCCTTCGAACTCACATTCCACAAGAGAAACAAAGATTTGGCGATAAATTCTTATCTACCCCACATCGCAAACGAGGCCCAAATCAAGAAACACGAGAAGAAAACGATCAAGATTTGGACAGTTGATGATTACGAAGACATGTACAACATAAACGATATTTGGCAGCCCGTAACCCTCGATCACCCGGCAACATTCGAGACTTTAGCAATGGATTCCGATCAAAAAGATTTGATCTTGAAGGATCTCGATAGGTTTTTGATGAGGAAAGATTATTACAAGAAAGTGGGGAAGGCTTGGAAAAGAGGGTATTTGCTGTATGGTCCTCCGGGGACTGGAAAATCGAGTTTGATTGCTGCAATGGCGAATTATTTGAATTTCGATATTTACGATTTGGAGCTGAGTGAGCTGAGAAAGAATTCCGATTTGAGGAAATTGCTTGTTGGGACTGCTAATAAGTCTATATTGGTTGTCGAGGACATTGATTGCACCGTTGATTTGCAGAATAAGCTGGCTAAAAGGGATGAATCTCCACCGTCGGATCAATCCAATCGCCGCGAAGAAAGCAGCAAGGTTCGACAATTCGATTTAGTTTCATTGCATTTTTTCTTTTACTCTTTATGTTTGCTTGCTTGCTTGATTGCTTTATTTGTCTTTCATCGGAATTGTGTTATGTACTTAGTCAACTAGTGTTCAACGTGTCGGTTGACTCGGTCAACGGGTTGTTTATCGGGACCCTTAATCGGTCAATGGGTATAGTGACTAGTTAAGGGTTGGAAAGTTAACCTTGCTAGGTCAATTAACCGGTTAAGTACAATCTGAAGAAAAAACTCAATTAGTTGATATTTAGACGCATACTTTTAACGTGGACAAAGAATTGATCCGCCGAAAAAGTAACAAACGGGTGATCTTAAAGAATTTCTCAAAGTAAATTGAATTGATGACAATGCAGATCTATTCTCGATCCTTTTTTGCTTTATTAGTTCGATTTTCTGGTCATTAATGCCAAAATTTGATTTGACTAACAATGGTAAAATGCTAGAATATTGTAATAAGTGATGAGAATGCAGATTAATACATGTCAGAAAGATCGATATTCTTGAACCCTTTTCGACTTTACTCTTTTGATTTCCTTCTGTATTAAGAAAACGTGATAAAGTTCGATTTCACTATTTATCAAAAAAAGAGTTCGATTTCACTAACAATTGTCAAAATGCTACAATGTAAATAACAGGTGACACTATCTGGTTTATTGAATTTTGTGGATGGATTATGGTCAAGCTGCGGTGACGAGAGAATTATAATATTCACGACAAATCACGTAGAAAAGCTCGATCCAGCATTGCTTCGGCCGGGTCGAATGGATGTGCACATAAACATGTCGTATTGCACCTTTTGTGGGTTCAAATTATTGGCCTCCAATTATCTTGGGATTAATAATCATTATTCGTTCGATGAAATCGAGGGCTCGATTGGAATTGCTAAAGTGACACCGGCTGAAGTAGCAGAGCAGCTTCTCAAGAATGACGATATTGATATTTCTCTTCACGGGCTGATTGATTTTATTCATAAGAAGGTTAAAGAAAACGAAGAAGCTGAGAATGGAAACGTGAAAACAGCAGAATTAGCTAACAAACAAGAAAGTGATGACAAGGAAAATGTTGGAGAAGCTAACAATTTTTCGTAATTTTTTGAATAGATAATGATGAAAAATTTATTAGAAATTTGATTTCTTTGTGTCAATTTGGTCGAAATGCGTTTATAGATACACGTGGGGTTCAAATATTGGTAGGCGGATATCGAGTGGAGTGTTCGAGTCGAGTCGAGTCGATGCTATTATAAAAAAGACATGGACAGAATAGGGGCTTTTTGGTCATTACATATCAACAAAATGGTTTTATTTTTCTTTTGTTTTGGGGATAATTTCACTTATCTTGTACTAATACATTTGTACGTATCATTAACAGACTCTTATTTTTGTTAAGCCAACTCTCTTCCTCTTTATTATACAACAATTATTATTTCTTTTTTTTTTTTTTTCAGTTCAAAACAATGTTTATTTGCAATTTACGAAAAATCCACGTCGGATGTTTATGATATTTCTTGAAACATAATTGTAATTAATTTAGGACATAAAATTGACCTAGTCCAATCAAATAAATTCTAGTGGCGAAATATCATCCCTAGAAAACTATACATACGAGTAGACGAGGTTTATGAGATTCTACATCTAATGAAATACATCATGTGATTTTAAATCGTAAATCTACATAAATAATTATAATGAGTGTGTGTATTATTATATGTAGATCAATAGTTTAAAACTACATTGTATTTTTCACGAGGTGTAAGTTACACAAGACCGTAGATGAAAATAAAATTAGCCATATTCTCTTTATCATTCCAATATCATCATTCGGGACATGTAATTTGACCAAGTCAAACCATCCAAGTAAATGCAATGCTAGAAGCAAAATATGAAAATACTAATACCTATATTGAAATTTCAAAGTCAACTTCCAACTGAAAAGTCAAAGGAAAATTGCCCCCAAGGTTTGAAAAATCAAGAGGAATTTTCTTTCCCGCGTCTTTCTGGACTTAATATTCTTCTCAACAAAACTGTATAAATAAAATACAAATGAGTTCATTTATTTCACAAAACAAACAAAAAATGCCTTCTTCATCAGAATCCAATTTAGCCACCGCAAAGGCCATACTCTCCGCCGTGGGCTCCATCGCCGCCACGGCCATGGTGGTGCGCAGTGTCGCTAGCGATATCCTCCCCCGCGAACTCCACAACCACATTTTCTCATTCATCCAAAATTTCTTCAGCCGATTCTCCAACCAACTAACCCTCGTGATCGACGAATTCGACGGGATAGTCAAAAACGAAATCTACGAATCCGCCGAAATCTACCTCGGCCCGAAAACCGGCCCGAAATCCCGCCGCCTCAAAATCAGCAAGCCCGAAAAGGAAAAGCACTACAAAATCACCACCGAACGCGACCAAGAAATCGTGGACACGTTCAGCAACGAAAAATTCAAGTGGATTTCCTCCAGCAGCGTCAACGAAGCCAGAAATTTCCACGAAGTCGGAAACCCGATTTTTCGATACGAAAACAAGTCATTCGAGCTCACATTCCACAAGAGAAACAAAGATTTGGTCCTGAACTCGTACTTGCCCTACATTAAAACCGTCGCGAAAAACAAGAAACAGGAGAAGAAAACCGTCAAGATATTAACCATCGGAGATTTATACAGTTCCGACGGTTCATGGACACCCGCGACACTCGATCACCCGTCGACTTTCGAAACTCTGGCAATGGATTCCGATAAAAAAGAGATGATCTTGGAGGATCTCGAGAGGTTTGTTCGGAGGAAAGATTATTACAGGAAAGTGGGGAAGGCTTGGAAAAGAGGGTATTTGCTGTATGGTCCTCCGGGGACCGGAAAATCGAGCTTGATTGCTGCAATGGCGAATTATTTGAATTTCGATATTTATGATTTGGAGCTGAGTGATTTGAGGAGTAATAATGAGTTGAAGAAAGTGCTTCTTAGCACAGCCAATAATTCTATTTTGGTGGTTGAAGATATTGATCGCACCATTGATTTCCAGAGTAGGCAACCCAATGCATCTGATGAAAACCAGGTAATTGTTTACTTATATTTTTATTTTATTTTTAATATAAGTGGAAACCTTAATTTAGTAAATGTTAGAAATTGTGATTTAGCAGTTAATTATAGGTATTAATTCCGGGTGGTGGAAATGTGAATGAAATTTTCGATTTTCGTTGATTTCGGCCGGAGATTTTTCGATACTGAAATGGTATTTTGACATTTTTCAATTTCCGATTTCTCCGGTTATTTTTTTATTATCGGAATTTGAATATATGTGAGTTTCCAATTTTCGATCCAAATTTTAAATTCTGCCGATTCTGGTTCGATTTGTTTGTATTTAGAACATACATGTTTTTTTAATTTCAACTTCCCAAAATCCAATTTTTGATATTTTCCGATTTTTTATAGAAACCAAATTGTAATTTGTTAATCACTTCAAAAAGAAAAATGGATTTTTTTCTTCAAGATTCTAATTCAGATCCGATCTGTCCGATTTTCACCCATTAGTATTCCAAATTAATACGACCTGTCTCGTAGCCACACCACGCTTTAGATTTCTTCTCTTTTATTTTTTCTCCGATGAGGGGAAGAATAGAACTTTAACTTCAAAACGGTCGACCTAGAAAAATTACTCTCGTATGCTTGCACATTAATAGCCCGTATTCTCGTATTATTTCACTAATTTTTTTTTCTAAACAATATATGCCACACTGTTAAATATAGGTGACACTATCGGGTTTATTGAACTTTATCGATGGATTATGGTCAAGTTGTGGCGACGAGAGAATCATAATATTCACGACGAATCACGTAGAAAAGCTGGATCCAGCATTGCTTCGCCCGGGTCGAATGGACGTGCACATAAACATGTCGTATTGCACCTTTTGTGGATTCAAATTATTGGCATCTAATTATCTTGGAATCAATAATCATATTCTTTTCGAAAAAATCGAGGGCTCGGTCGGAATTGCTAAAGTCACACCGGCTGAAGTTGCCGAGCAGCTTCTCAAGAATGACGATCCTAATGTTTCTCTTCGAGGGTTGATTAATTTTATTCATAACAAGATTAAAGAAAATGAAGAAGCTGAAGCTGAAGCTGTAAAGGCAAAAGCAGAATCTGATGAAAAGCTAAAAGTTGAATCTGAAGTGGTTTAAGGCTTTTTTTGTTTTTTGATAATCTTATTCATAGTTCATACGAATTAATCTGAACTGAATTTTCATCCTGCAAAATCAAATTATTTTATTGTTTTTTTTTTTTTGAAGGCTATTGATTCTTGTAAGTTCACTTTCTTTTAATTAATGCCAATCTTTCAATTAAATATTTTTCTAATAAAATTAAATAAAATATATGTGTGTTTTTTTTTTTGACAAGAATAAAATATGTGTGTTGAAGGTTATTGATTCTTGTAATTTCACTTTCTTTTAATTTTTGGAATCTAGCACAAATTTGTGTAAATTGGGCCAATAAAAAATCATATGCAACTACACCTACTATTTTGTAATGGTATTTTCTAATTTTATTGATTTCTATATTATATTGTTATGTTCGGGTAGGCGTCGAATGGAAATCGAACGAATCAGATTTTTTTCGCAAAATTTCGAATCGAAATGGATGCAATTTGAAATAAAAATCCAATTTTTAGTAACCTAAAATATAAAGTACATAATATTTTTTTAATATAATTGTATTTTTTGGAAAAATAAAATGATATTTTTTAAAATAATTTTGGAACTAAAATTGTGTAGGAAATCGGAATCTCGTATATATTCCAATTCCGATAAAAAAAAATCTAAAATTGGAATTTCGGGATTCAAAATTGAAAAGTTTAGGATTGAAATCATAATCATAATCGAGTGTAGACAGATTCACTTAAAATCGAAATGTTAGCATCTCGACTCAATGACGGACTAGTTCCGTATGCCACTTAGACAATCAACAAAATAGCTATATATTTTAGGTGTAATTACTCGGAATAGATACACATTAACACTCTCTAATCATTTTCTAATCGTCACCCATCTCCATAATCATAGACAACCTCGCCTCATAAAATTTCTAACCGCATTAATTAAGTAGCTATTTTAGGTTAACTAATTACTTGGAATGGATTAACACATCAACATTCTCTAATCATTTTTTTCTGATCTTCATCTTCTTTATCCTCTATTGCAAGGTTGTTTTTTTTCTTGTCACTCTCCGTCAATCTTCGTTTCGTTCTCCTTTTAGCACATTTTGCCCGTGTCGAAATCATCATAGCTCCATTAGTACTCTTACAACGTTTATGATCTTCTCCTTTGTCTCCATCTCCAGAATCATCGACAACCACTTCATCATCGCCTATAAGGGAGTTTTCGTACTTGCGCTTGAGAAAATCGAGCACCCCGTCAAGTGAAGTATCGACATCGTCGCTCTTCATCAGTTCCTCCGCAACTTCAGCAGGCGTGATTTTCAAGATTTTGATCAAGTTTTCGATTTCCGACAGCCGTTGATCTTGGTGGAGATCGACGGTGAGATAAGTGGCGGCCAATAGCTTGAAGGCTTCGGGTGTTAGATACGACATGTGTACGTGCATGTCCATGCGGCCGGGGCGGAGCAGAGCAGGGTCGAGTTTGTCTTTGTTGTTTGTTGTGAATACGATTATTCTTTCGTCACCGCAGCTTGACCAGAGGCCATCTATGAAGTTTAGCAGTCCTGAAAGTGTGAACTAAAGAGGAAAAGAAAAATAAGAAAATACAATTAATAATTGGATTAGAAGCTCTGTTTGGTTGATAAGATACATTTTGATTAATTAAAAAATTAATTAAGCTTGTTTAGTATTTAATAACTTAAGTTTAAAAATTTACAAATAATTATTACTACCTGATTTTGGGGAAGCTGAGAATGTGCGTGGCTATTCGGGTCGTCTGTCGGGCCCTTTCGGCCGGGCAACGCCACCGTGCAATCGATGTCTTCGATAACAAGTATGGATCGATTTGCGGTCCTGAGAAGCAATCTTCTCAAATCGGAATCGCGTTTAATGCTAGCAAGCTCCAAATCGTAGACGTCGAACTTGAGGTAATTCGCCATTGCAGCAATCAAGCTCGATTTTCCAGTCCCTGGAGGACCATACAGCAAATAACCTCTTTTCCAGGCCTTGCCAACTTTCCTGTAGAACTCTTTCCTTCTAACAAACCTATCCAAATCTTCGACAATGGCCGCCTTCTGACTCGGCTCCATCGCTAGGGTTTCGAATGTCGAAGGATGTTCGAGATTGACCGAATCCCACATGAAATGTGATCCGTAAGGAGCATTGGATAAAGTGTGCAGCCTTATGACTTTCTTTTCATCTGTGATGATTTTAGCGCTTTGGATCACAAATGGTAAGTAACAATCCAACACTTTTTCCTTGTGCTTGCTGTCGAATCGGAGCTCGAAGTATCGCTTTGCGTTTTCGCCGAAAACATCGTTTGTACTTTCGTCGAACACCTTGTGGGCGCTATTATTGCTGTTGTTTTTCAATTTGCTCGCGAATCTCCACTCGAGATCGTCGATGTCTTCGAAGCGATCGGTGATTTTCTCCGACTGCGCAAAGCCGATGCTCACGGCGGCGTCCTTGTGGCGCTTGGTGACTTTCAGGCGGTCGAAGTTGGGCTTGATTTTGGCGCAGAGGTAGATCTCCGCGGCGTAGTAGATCTCGTTGCTTGAGATTCCGTCCCTTTCTTCGACGACCAGGGTGGCGGAGGTGCAGCGGCGCCGCCGCTGCTTGAACAAGGTGTGGAGTTTGTTGAGCAAGTAGTGCTGGAGCTGACGGGGGACTAGTTGGTAGAACATTGTCTGGAGGAGCATGATGAATGAGGAGACGGAGGCGTACGCCGCGAAGATCGACGACGTCGGCGGTATGCCGGAGAATGAAAACGCCGGCATTGTTGCTGGGTCGGTAATTAAATTTGTAGAGAAGAAACAAAAACAATTAATGCAGAATCAAGAATTGGAGATTGATCAAAGTACTTATAAAGATTAAAGGGTTTTTGTCGTATTTAATTTAATTATTTAAAAAGGTTGGCCAATTTGGGGTTATGGAAATACAGCGAGGAGATTTCATATTTCTCTCTCTTCACACCATTTTCATGCTTAATTTAGAGAGAGAGAGTGTCTTTATAGGATGTGTTGGCTGATGCTGATTGCTTTGGCCATTGACATGCAATGTATGTGCGACACCTGTCCTCATTATTATTAATACCTAGTATATATAGTAAAAGTGCTGCTGGTCCACCTTGGTTTTTTTGGAACCTAGCTACCACACTTCTGCATAAATATTTATTTTACTGCTATATTTTATTTTATTAATAAAATATTTAATTGAAAGATTGGCGTTAATTACCTTCCGGGATTCGAAACCATTGTGGGGTGGGTGGGTTTTACAGTGATTTTTTCGTCGGAAAAAGAGGGAATCAGAGGAGAGAAAGAGAGAAGAAATAGAGAAGAAAGAGAGCAGTAGAAACAGAGAAGAAATAGAAGAAAGAAAGAGAAGATGAAGAGAGAGAAAAAGAAGAGAGAGAAAAGGGTGAGAGTGAAAAAGAAGAGAGAGAATATAATAAAATATATAAAATTCACATTAGGGACTGAACTGCATGTCAGACGCGTGAATAGGGACTGAATTGCTTGGGGAAACTACCTAGGGACTGATCTGTGTGTTGAGTTTTGAATTAGGGATTTATCTGTAGTTTCCCCAAAATATGAAGTTGGGCTAGCAATTAACTATATATATTCTATATTAATTATGAAAAGTGTCGCACATACATTGCATATTCTTCCTCGATATATATATTATATTGTTATGCAGTAGATTTTCTCTCTCTAAATGTCAATTCGAAATAATGTTTCCTTTACATCAAAAGAGTGAAGAGAGAGAGAGAAAGAAAAGGAAATGTGCTTTGCTGTATTTCCACACCCCAAAGTAGCCAATTAAGTTTTTTTAATAATTAAAATACGACAAAAATCCTTTTCCGATATTTTCACACTATTTTCACGCAATCTCCAAATCTTGATTCTCCATTAATACAAGAGCATCCATTAGGCATGCACCCTGCAGAGTTGCAGACAAAATAAAAGGACCCATCATCACTCAATATATCCAAATGTTAAATTACGAAAAAAAAACCTATAATGTTTGTATAATTACAATCGTACCTTTAGCTATGAGTCTTCTTATACGATTTATTATTATGGTGTCAAATTTAACGTAATTTTATAGATTACGTGGAATACTATCTAGTTTGTTCTCGTTTTTTGAAAAAAAAAAATAGTTTCTGATGCACCACAATCTAATATTGGCGAGTAAACTGCAAAAACTACCCCTGTGTAATCTCGAAATAGCAAAAAACCCCCTGTGATAAATAAACTAGCAAAAACCTCCCTTGTGAAATTATTTAAATAGCAAAAAACCCCCTATGGAACTATTTGAGGGTTGACTTGATATAAAAAGACACAAATACCCCTGGAGTCTTGCAATTAATAAATTCTTATATTTTATAAATATTTTAATTATTTTATTTAAAAAATAATCAATTTAGTTGTTTACTATTTTTTTTAATTTCTAAACAAATAAATTAAAAAGAATAAATATACATATAATATGTATATATATAAATACATTTTGAGGGACAATTTTGTCATTTCAAGTCTAAAAAATCAGCTAGGGGGGATTCTGCCTTTTACTAAATTTCACAGGGGGGTTTTTGCTAGTTTATTTATCACAGGGGGGTTTTCGCTATTTCGAGATAACACAAGGGTAGTATTTGCAGTTTACTCTAATATTGGCAAGTCAAGAGACACAACTTATGATCATATTATTTTAAAATATGAAGCTCGAATCGAATAAAACAAGTACAAACTGGAGAATATTTCACATAATCTAGAAGATTCCACAAAATTTGATATCGCAGGGGCGGGAGTGTAAGAAAATTCATAGCAAAGAAGGGAATTGTAATTACTCAAACATGAAAGGGTTTTTCGTAATTTAACCTTAAACCAGGGGTTGGCCGTAATACTATGTAGAAATAATGCACGGCTACTTTTTAAAAACAATTATAGTAAATTAAATACTTTTTAAAAACAATTCAAAGTAAAAGTTAAATACATTAGACACACTCTTTGCAAACAAATAAACCAGCACGAAATTAAATAATGCCAAACATTTTTTTTTAATCATCTTTTAGACCATTATTAATGCAGTAAAATAAAAATAGTTTAGTTTTTGAATTATGAGGGGCTTGAATAGTTTTGAATTTGTCTGATCGAGCCCTTGTCAAACTCAATCAACCTCAAATCACTTCAAATAAGATACTTAACTTATCTATATATTATCTTCTAAATAAATAAATAAAAATAAAAAAAAAAATATAATCCATATAATAATAACATACACAAAGCCTCTGTTTCATTCTACATTGAGCAAAAAAGCCAGCAAAGCTAATAAGGGCAAAAAAGTAAATATATTTATATCCTAACAACAACGTTCACTCAACAATGGCGGTTTCCTTCTCCGGCATACCGCCGACGTCGTCGATCTTCGCGGCGTACGCCTCCGTGTCGGCATTCATCATGCTCCTCCAGGCCATGTTCCACCAGCTCGTCCCCCGCCAGCTCCAGCACTACCTGCTGAACAAATTCCACCACCTCTGCAAGCGGCGGCGCCGCAGCTACGCCACCATCGTCGTCGAAGAAAGAAACAGAATCTCAACCAACGAGGTCTACTCCGCCGCCGAAACCTACCTCTGCACCAAAATCAGGCCCAACATCGACCGCCTGAAAATCTCCAAGTGCCACCGCGACGCCGCCGTGAGCATCACGTTCGCCCAGTCGGAGCGGATCTTCGACCGGTTCGAAGACGTTGACCTAGAATGGATATTCGTGAGCGAAGACAACAGCAGCAACAACAACACCAGCAAAAACGCCTCCAAGGTGTTCGACGAAAATACCAACACAGTTTTCGTCGAATCCAACAAGCGCTACTTCGAGCTCCGATTCGACGGCAAGCACAAAGACAAGGTGTTGGATTCTTACTTCCCATTTCTGCTCAAAAGTGCTGAATCAATCGAAGATGAAAAGAGAGTTATAAAGTTGCATACTTTAGCCTCTACATCTGCTTACGGATCAATGTACGTGTGGGATTCGATCAATCTCGAACATCCTTCGACTTTCGAAACCCTAGCTATGGAGCCGAGTCAGAAGAAAGCCATTATCGAAGATTTGGACAGGTTTGTAAGAAGGAAGGAGTTCTACAGGAAAGTGGGGAAGGCCTGGAAAAGAGGGTATTTGCTGTATGGTCCTCCAGGTACTGGAAAATCAAGTTTGATTGCTGCAATGGCGAATTATTTGAAGTTTGATGTGTATGATTTGGAGCTTACTAATATTAAACGCGATTCCGATTTGAGGAAATTGCTTCTCAGGACCGCGAATCGGTCGATACTTGTTATCGAAGACATCGATTGCACAGTGGCGTTGCCCAGCCGAAAGGGCCCGACAGGCGGCCCGAATAGCCATGGGCATTCTCAGCATCCCCAAAATCAGGTTTATTAATAATTTATTGAGGGTTAGTGTCTCAGTTTTTAGGGGTTTAAGGATGTTGTCTGATAATCGGCCCATTTTAACAAGTAATTCGACTTTTGTTGTTTGTGGTTCAATTGAGTATTGCAATAATTTTTAGCTCAATTCTTGATTTCTATTGTGAAAGAGTGAAGTAAATAAAAATTCAATCTTGTTTCCTGTGTAGTTTACACTTTCAGGGCTGTTGAACTTCATAGATGGTCTCTGGTCAAGCTGCGGAGACGAAAGAATAATCGTATTCACAACAAACAACAAAGACAAACTCGACCCTGCTCTGCTCCGCCCGGGCCGCATGGACATGCACATACACATGTCGTATCTAACACCCGAAGCCTTCAAGCTATTGGCCGCCACTTATCTCACCGTCGATCTCCACCAAGATCAACGCCTCTCGGAAATCGAAGACTTGATCAAAATCTTGAAAATCACGCCTGCAGAAGTTGCGGAGGAATTGATGAAGAGCGACGATGTTGATACTCTGCTTGACGGGGTACTCGATTTTCTCAAGCGCAAGTACGAAAACGCCCTTGTAAACGATAAAGAGGTCGATAATGATGAAGATGGAGACGAAGAAGATCGGAAAGTGATTAGTAAGGGCACCGATGGAGGTGTGTTTTCGACATGTGCAAAATGTGCGAAGAGGAGAACCAGAAGAGGATTAATGGAGAGTGGGAGAAGTTGTGGAATGGTGACAATGTGATTTCATCAAATGTATCTATATATAAATAAATATGCTTGCTTTGATGTTGTTAGGATTAATTAATGACTTTTAGTATCGGCTAATTAATTAGGTTAAGTGTGATGTTGTGCACTCTTTTGAACATTATGCACTCGTGGAAGTGTAGTTTTTGTCAAAATTCCCTGAAATGGAATCGGAATTTCGTCGTCTTAAAATCGAAAATTTTCTTTATACCCAAATTAGAGGTCTAAAATTCGAATTTTCGTACGTACAAAAGAAGTATTTTTTCTAATTTTGATTTTTGAATGCACTAATACGAGGTAGGCCGAGAAAATGTTGGTGTTTTGAATGCACTAATATCAAGTTTCTTGAGACCTCATATATAAATGAAGTTATATGTATTTCTCTTAAATGTTTTCAATTAAAAAGGCCTTAAGAGGTCCATGTAAACTAGTTGATCCAAGAAATTCTAACTCCAATAAACCCACTAAAACAATTAATTGCAGCCCTTTGTTTTTTCTTTTCATAAATAAAAACGTAGGGAAAAAAATCATAAAAGAAAGTTTTCTTGTTTTGAAATTCAATCTAAAAGTAGTAATCCGCAAGGCATTTTCTAATCCTAATTCCTTTTTCTGAAATGTTAAATGCCGTTGCAAGTTTACTAATATTATTTTGACTTCGAACGTGATTTTGTTTATTTTCTATTCTTATTTTGGCAAAATGCAAAACACACAAATTGTAGTCCTTTGAAATAAGTTTCTAATCCTACTTGAATCAGTTAGATTGGATGTCGGGTGCAAAACTTTGCATAAGTGAGTTATGTTTTGCATAAGGATTCAAGTTGGATTAGAAAACTAACTCAAAAACCCACAAATACACATTCAAAATTATAAAAAACCGGCGATTATATGCAAGCCCACTTTTTTATTAGTTCAAACTCGCATAAAAGAGTTTATTAGTTCAAGCCCGTAAATTAATTTAATTTTATTACATCAAGACCAAACATGACGAGTATACCCTCTTATCAATAAATAATACTCAAATACAAACAAACTCTATTTTTAATTTGTTCAAGACCAAAAAAAAAAAAAAAAAAAAAAATCTCACAACTCCCGCCACCAGACCACCGAGACACCTCCCAGCGAGACATCCACCGCGCCGGTGACGACCAGCGACCCATCCATCGCACCACCTCCACTGCACCATCACAACCATCACCAACAAGTCCTTTTTACTAAACTTTTGTTTGTCAATTCAAAAACATTAATCGAGTATCGATTCTTGATAAATATGCGTGGATGAACATTAATCCATGCTTACTTCTTGTTGGTTTGCAATGCTTTAACCGATTTTGGAAAAAAAATTGAGATTGAAATTGATTTTTTGTGTGTTTTCGTTGGTTTCTCAAATCGTTTTATCCAGACCGATTTTGTACACGGAAATCGGCGTCACAATACTTATTTTTGTTAACCAAATCAGCGACACAACGCCGACTTTACAAGCCAAAATCGGCGTTGTAACGCCGTTTTTTTTTTTTTTTTTTTTTATGATTTATGTTTTTTATTTGGTTTTGAATTTCATTAAATGTAAATTAGTATTTTTATGTTGGATGTCTTGAACTAATAAAAAAATGGACTTATATATATCCGCCGCCTTATAAAAATAATGCACGTTTAAAATCAAAACGATATATTTAAAACTGAAACAACATTTATCATAATAGTATTATTATTATTATTTTCATTTTTTTTGTTTTTTTTTTTTTTTTTTTTTTTTTATTGACAATTGACAAGTACGTAGAATAGAAAAGGAGACTTTAGTCAACAACTAATATTCTTAAACCAACGTCACTAATTAATCCGCGTCCGTATACCTTTCCTACTATATTAGTAAGCGTACTCTCCAAGCCGAGTCTCCATTCGCTGCTTCCCACCCTTCCTCCCCAATAATACATCCTTCCAAATACACCCAATAGTAAAATGACACGTACCCAAACTCATAAGGCTCACGCCGCACCTGATTACCCCCTTCCATCCTTCCTTCCTAAGCTTTTCAAACTCCCACTTATAAATATATATATATATATAGCTCTGCTAAAAACATCACAAGAAAAAAAAAACGTTTAACACACACGAAAAAACAACTCAAGTATCATTTTCTCTAGAAATTCCGATCAAGAAAAAAATGCAATCTTTCGGCGGAATGCCGTCGATGGCGAGCAACATTTTCTCGGCGTACGCGTCGGTGGCGGCGTCGATGATGCTATTCCGGTCGATGGCAAACGACGTCGTTCCGGAGCCGGTGAAGTCCTTCTTCTACTCTTTCTTCAAACAGTACTTCGACAGATTCTTCACAAAACCCACGACCCAATTAACAATGGTGGTCGACGAGCAGAGCGGCATCTCCCCCAACGAAATCTACGGCGCGGCGGAGATCTACCTCCGCACCAAGATCAACCCCGCCGCCGACCGCCTCAAGGCCAACAAATCCTCCAAGCACAAGAAAATCATCCTCAGCATGGAGAAAGGCCACGAGGTCTCCGACAATTTCAACGGTTTCGATCTCAAATGGCAGTTCGTTTTAATCGAGCCCGACGGCGACAGCCGGAAATACCGGTCGGAGAAGCGGTACTTCGAGCTCACCTTCGATAAGCAGAACAAAGAAGCCGTCGTCGGCGAGTACCTCCCTTTCGTACTCGCGAGGGCCAAGGAGATCAAAGAGAAGGAACGCGCCGTGAAGCTCTACACGCGCGACTGCCCCTTCACCGACGACGACGACGAGGGTGGCAACGGCGGCGGCGGGTACTGGGGCTGCATCAACCTCGACCACCCGGTGACCTTCGACAAATTGGCGATGGAGCCCGCCCTGAAAAATGGGATAATCGAAGATTTAGACAGGTTTGTTCGGAGGAAAGATTATTACAGGAAAGTGGGGAAAGCTTGGAAAAGAGGGTATTTGCTGTATGGTCCTCCGGGCACCGGAAAATCGAGCTTGATTGCTGCAATGGCGAATTATTTGAAGTTCGATGTTTACGATTTGGAGCTCTCGAGTCTGTACTCGAATTCTGAACTTCGGAGAATTCTTCTGTGCACGAGCAACAAATCGATACTTGTGATTGAAGATATCGATTGCACCGCGCAAATGCATGACAGAGAACGAGACAGAGATAATACGGATTCCGACCACGAAGACTCCGCTGGCACAAAGGTTTAAATAAATTAATTAACTTATTAAATGATAATCGTGACGTGGTATGTACTAACTAATTTTAAATAAATTTGCAGTTGACTTTGTCGGGATTGTTGAATTTCATCGACGGGTTGTGGTCGACGTGCGGGGACGAGAGAATCGTGGTTTTCACAACGAACCATAAAGAGAAGCTGGATCCTGCGCTGCTGCGCCCCGGGAGAATGGATATGCACATTCACATGGGGTACTGTACGCCGCAGGGATTCGATGTGTTGGCGATGAATTACTTGGGTGTTGGTGATTATCCGGGGTTGTTTGGTGAGATTAAGGAGTTGATCGGAGAGGTGGATGTTACTCCGGCGGAGATTGCGGAGCATTTGATGAGGAATGAGGATGTTGATCTTGCTCTGCGAGGGGTGGTTGATTTGCTTAAGAAGAAGAAGTGTGAAGTGGTGGCGGCGGCGGTGGTGGTGGTGGTGGAGAGTGATGGAAGTAAAATTGGAGGTGGTGGAGATGAGAAATTGGAGAAGGAGAAGAAGAAGTTTGGGAGGTTTGTGAAAAGATTATTGAAATTTAGGAGGGAATTGAGGGAAGAAAGTAAGACCAAAATGTTGTTGATGTGAGTTGAATTAATTATTAATATGTTATTAATTATGTATTTATTATGTATTGATGATGATGATGATGATGATGATGATGATGATGATGATGATGATGATGAAATATGTTGTGGAGTTGTTTTTCTACATGAATAAATTGATAATCTAGGCGTTTTGAAATAAGTAATTTGCAATGGGTTCGAAACGTATTGGAAGTCGAACTGGATAATTAATTGGGTCACGGTTGGATCGATTATAAATTATATACTCATAATTAATGGGCTGTGGTGTGGTGTCAATTTTGCATCATTTCCTTTATCCGAAGATACAAACATGCTGGCATTGATATTGTGAGAATATTACTTTACTTCTCCCAATAAACAAATCAATTATTGCAATTAAAAATATCTACAAAACTAAGATGTATAATGGGGCTCCCTCCATCACAAAAGTAGGAGAGATATGAAGCAGATTAGGAGTGATAATCCCTTTATAAAGAGAAGATTCAGCCCATAAATTAAGCTAGGTTATGGGGTGCAAAATTAGCATTAGGGACGCAAATTTGAAGTGCCATTTTTGCCAAAGAGCCCAATACTTTCGGAGGAACCACCTTCGACGGAAACCTCTCCAACATTCAGGACAGTAGTCTGTAGTTATCTAGACAAGCAGGTCAGTAGAGTTTTATGTAATTCAGGCAAATACTAATTGATTTACTAAAGTATATCAAACTCATAAAATATTTAATAAAGAAGTACAAAATATATCATATCATATACCCTAACAAATTTGATGTTTTTGTCATCCATTTATCATTGATGATGAATGTGGCTAATAATTTCATTTTGCAAATGATGAATATATATATTTGCAGCTGACAATTTTACAAATATAAAGTGTCGGATCCAAAATTTGATTGGATTGTGTTTGTCTATGGCAATACCCAATAGTCCAAAATATAATTGAATATTCATCCCATTGTCTGAAAAAGAATCTTTATAACAGTACTGTGGTATCCGACAAGGAAAGTACACTTGCTATATCTATTTTTTGATTCTTTTTTGTACTTAAATAAATAAATAAAACATTTATTTGTTTCAGTGTTGATTAAATTTTATAAAGAAAAAAGAAAAAAAGGGAAATACAAAAGATTGTGCATCAGTGGTCACTTTTCAGTGGAGGGGAAAGGGTTTGAGAAATCTGAGAAAGATTTGATTAAGATTCCTACCTACTAAAACTGGGAGGTAAACAAACTTCAATTTAGTACATCTATTAATGCTGCTTACAAATAGCATTCACACCTCATTAATAAATTTAGTCGGTGCTAAAACACAAACAAATTTAATTAATTATTAGTAACAACTAACAACTCATTCTTCACATTTTGTATTGCAACTTATATTGAAATGTTGAAAAACAAGTTTTATTTTAAATAATACGACCGTTTCATGGATAGGATTACGGTTTGTTTTAGTATAGTAGTTTTTTCCCCCCCACGAAAAATTCATCTCAATCGGAGGTTAGACTAAGAGTCTAAGACAAACCGACCAATAATTAAAAAGAAAAAAGAAAGAAAACCGACCAGTAATAAATGCAAAATTGGTTATGACATGAATTGAGTCGCTCAGAAGCTCGAAGTCGATTTTTTTTTTTTTTAAATATAATATTAAATATAATAAATGCACTTTAAATTTTAGAAATAAATCCAGTTCATGATTTATTTTGTAATTTATTACTATTATTATTACAATACAAATAATTTATGCTAATAATATAAATCAATTTAAAATGTACTAAAAGTAAAAATTTAATGAGCTTAGGTTAGGTTCGAACTTGAGCTTAGGGAGAAAAAAAAAAAAAAAAAAAACGAAGAGGTCAAACTAGTCAAATGAACTCGACCTCAAAGTAGCTAAATTTAACTCGAAATCGACTCGTCTTGTTTTGTTTATGTTCATACTTGATACCATTTCTAATTATGTATGGATTGCGATCCTGCTCACCAGGTAAAGGCTATATTCTTATTCTCACATACAAATAGTAAACTGACACGTGTCAGATGTAGAAATAACGGACCTTGATCATCTTGAGTTGGGCCCACATCCTATCAAAAATTACTTTCCAGCCCAGAGATTCCGCAATTGAAAGCCCATCTTCTATCAGAGCCCAGATTTCAATTTCGCCCCAATTCTCCAATCGCCAAATTCAGATTCCAACAGTTCATCAATAATTAAACGACGATTTACTCTTATAATCTGCAGGGCTGTAGATTTCAGAGACCTAGATCCCTTTTGGTAAGTCTGCACAATATTTCACACCTACAATGTAAAAAAAAAAGAGTTTTTTCTGTTTTGTTTGTTAATGGTAATGGATTTTGATTTCAGTGACGAAGGAAATGGATCCGGATTCAGTGAAATCAACTCTCTCTAATTTGGCTTTCGGGAATGTTTTGGCTGCCGCTGCCCGCGATTATAAAAAGGTCTGTTTTTTTTTTTTTCAAATGAATGGATATTGAATTTTGATGACGTAATTTGCTTTTACATTTACGTGTAGCATTTTTATTTTTTTATGATAAATTGGCGAATTTGGAGTTCATAATGTATGTTAGCTGTTCGTCGTCAATTGGTCAGATTTATGGTTGTTAGCTTATCTAAGTTCACTTATTGAAATTTCACAATTTTCTTGGCATTTAAAAGATCAATAAGCTTTACGATTATAACAGTTATTAAACCAATGATTTCGTTATCTGAAATGGAAGATGAATCCGCCGAATTAAGTTGTTTTTTTTCAGCTTTCGATTGAAATGCTGCTGAGGTCCATTTGTCGAGTTTTTATTAGTTCCGAAAAAAAGTTATAAACATGTATTCTCTTAAAGAATTTATCCCAGAATTCTTTCAAAGCGCCCCCATGATGTTCGATTTATTTCCAGAACTATGAAATTGCAAAAGGGTTTTGTCTCAAAATGGGATTATGATCTGTAACAGTTCTCGGCTAAGCAATTTCCTTCGACAAATTAGCATAAAGAGGCTGAAATTTGACGTATTTTTTTCACAGGAATTGCTGACTCAGGAGAAAGCGAATGCATCTAGCTCCTTTAACGAGGAAGTCGATCTCGATGAATTGATGGATGTAAGTAGACGATCCATCTCACTCTAATTTCTATCTTCCATCTCTCTGGTTCTTTTTTCACGTGTTTTTATTACACACAGGATCCCGAGCTCGAAAAATTGCATGCAGACAGGATCGCAGCTCTTAAGGTATGTATTAAGCCCTCGAACGAGCTTTTTGAGTTAACTTCTTGTAATAATTTTGTTCATTAATTTTTTGAACTTACAGAAAGAAGCAGAGAAGCGGCAAAAGCTGTCAATGCAAGGTCATGGAGAATACAGGGAGATAACAGAAGCCGACTTTTTGAGTGAAGTTACAGGCACTGACAAAGTGATTTGTCATTTTTACCATCGAGAGTTCTATCGTTGCAAGTAAGAACACATTTTACGACATTCATTTGAAACCTTTTTGTGCAGATTGAATGGTAGATTTATTGTTTGAAACTGGGCACCAGATTCAAGATATATTTTTCTGGAAATCAGTTACCAAAATATAAATTAACGAACTTGTTTCTCCCATGACGGAATATTTATTTTTGCTAGAATTATGGACAAGCATTTGAAGACCCTCTCTCTGAGACATTTTACTACCAAGTTCGTCAAATTGGATGCTGAGGTCAGTATCGTAGAGAATGCACTATTCGGGTGGTTACAAATTCGAAAGAATCTAAATTTCTTGCTTTTATATTTTTTGGCAGAATGCTCCTTTCTTTGTTTCGAAGCTAGGAATCAAGACATTGCCATGTGTCATAATGTTCAGGTCTGCCATTTCACTATTTCTTAATTTTCCACTTGTGCGTTTATATAGTAGCAAATGTTGCTATTTCGTTTATTTTCTTATTGGCATGAAACCGGTGAGGAATAGCAAAATGATGGTATCTTCTGAATTGTACTATGAATCTTTTTCATTGATTCTCAACTACATTTTCTTCTTTTCTGTGGTAATTCATTGTTCCTTATACAATATCTTAAAATAAACAAATATTCTGGGAGCTTGCTTGATTATTGAGTTGAGCTATTTGTCACTAATTCAATGGCGATCCAGATATAGAATGATCGTTTTACGGAGCATAATATTTAATAAATTTAATTTTTTTCTCGTCTCTTTATCCAGAAAAGGAGTAGCAACGGATAGGGTGGTCGGGTTTCAAGACTTGGGGGGAAAAGATGATTTCTCTACAAGGTCCCTCGAGATTCTCTTGTTGAAGAAAGGTAAATATATATTATTTTTGAACTTCAATTTGCTTTTGTACAAAAACTATTTGAATGCAGCTTCTAAAGTCTAAACCTTCAATTTTGCAGGAATTATCGAGGAGAAGAAACGAGGAGAAGAGGATGATGATTATCTCGAAGGTAGAAATAAGACAGTGAGATCATCGGGCAACCCTGATTCTGATTCCGACTGAGAGAAAAGACTTCGAACCTTTGATTGTAATGAAAATTTTATGTAGCTTGCGAACGTTTCATTTCTTGTTAGAGATTTTTATTTCGTAGTTTTCTGCTAGAAAATGTTTTAAGACAATTATTCGATTCGGTTTAGAACATGCTTGTATAAGGTTGGATGCTTCTCAAATGCCAGTGTCGATGAATTATAAAATATAATTTAACTATAATGAAAAAATGTTTTTTTATCCTTAAAGTTTTGATGCTCAATTTGATTTATGACAAGCTTTTCCAATTGCAAAAAAAAAAAAAACAAAAAAAACTAAGAGATAGATAGATATCAGTTGATAATATATTGTGGGAATATGAAATCATGTAGTAAGAAAAAAAAAGGGTAAAATCGAACATATTTAGGATGTGGCTGCTGGGATTCGAGCCCAGGTCTCCACGGCCACAACGTGGAATTCTCACCACTAAACTACAGCCACTTTGTTGATGAAATTGTTTATATTAATATTAAATCCTTTTCGGGTTTAACAATGAATTTGATTAGATACAAAATGCTCTAGTCGGAAAAAAATGTAACAAAAGAACTCCAAATACAAGTCTTTTTATCTAAAAAGTCCTAGAATCAAAAGATTCGTACTAAATTATTTTGTAACAACTTTTTTTTTCATTTAATTTCCGAAATTTTGATTTTCCAATTTTTCGATTTTTTGTATAATGAAATTGGAATGAGTGAAACACTTCATGCTTTTGTTCCTACACAAAACCATGTTTAGACAAATGAGTTTGATTCTTTTACAAGATTTCTATTATGTTTTTGGTTTTGGGCGATGTTCAAGTATAGTTAATTTGTTAGTTTGGTTGCATGTAATGGTCCATTTTAAGACATCATAAAAATGTTTTAATAGATGCTGTAATGTTAAAAAAAAAATGCAGAAGATGTATGAGGGGTTTATAGTATCTTGAAGCAATACTTCTAAATTTAATAATTTAAGAAAAGTCCTAGCAAAAAAGACCGTAAATCTAAAAGAATTAAAAATGTAGAATAACATGAGTTATAACAGCTTTGTATTGGGAACTCTCTTAGTTACCTAAATGACTTGTAAGTATATCCATTTTTCTATCCATTATGAAATAATGATAATTAAGGTAGAAGAAAAAGTTCCACTGAAGTCGACTATGAATCAAAATGGCTGGTTTGTTATTTTTTTATCACAAAAGAGCCTCAAAGTGTAGCCATCAAGGATATCAATGACTTGCTTAGCAGTTAAATTGGTGCAACAAGGACTATAAGAGAAGTGATCTTGTCGAGGTGCATTAAACACAAAAAAATATTATTTTGATAAGTACCGAACACATGTGTTTTACTATTACTTTAAGTCTTTGTAAGTATTGTTTTGTTGGTTTACAAATAAATTATTCTCTTATTTATACTTCATTACCTTCGTACGATGGATGGCGATAATTGAGTTAATCATATAGTTGGAAGTGATTTTCTAGAACACTACATGAACTTCCAACTACCTTCTAGAAGGTAAATAATAGAATGAAAAAAAATCTAAATAGTTCATATAAATCACTAAAATTAGGTAACAAACTTCCTACATATTTCGAGAAATTTTTTGATCTACAAGTGGTCTACTTTATACTTTATTTTTTCAACTAGTTTTTTTTTGTTCAATAAAAACATTTTTGACCCAAAAATCACAAAATTTGACGGACGGTGACACATCACCCTCATTTCATATTATTTAAAGTTGCTCATTATTATTACTTATTATTTTTACAAACGTCTCATTTCATATTATTTAAAGTTGCTCATTATTATTACTTATTATTTTTACAAACGTCTTATTTATTAAAATAACGATATTTTAAATATTCCGATCAACAAATGGTCTGCTTCGAATTTTATGGGCTAGTTTTTTTAGATCTAATGAGAACATTTTTGGTCCAAATATCATAAAAAATTGGTCCAAAATAGGTGAATGGTGACACCTCAACATCATTTCATATTATTTAAAAGTTATTCGTGGTTATTATTTATTCTATTTACAAACTTTCTTTTCTATTTAAGTAACGATATTTAAAAATACGTCAACTACAAATAATATGTTAGGTTAGGAATCGATTAAAAGGAGTACAATAACTTACATTCTATGTATTTTCATGGAGTCGTTGTAAATAATTTTTCGAGTACATGGTGTCGACGTTAGTTACATTAAAAATTAACAGAAGTTGATCAAGAAAAAAAAAAACCGACAGACAGATGAGTGCCACATGATACTAATGGAGAGGCCTACCACAGGTAATTTATTCTCACGATAAATTAAAATATTTCACTTAACAAAAGAACAATTAGCAATTGTGTAATAATAATGATTGCTTACATAAACATTACTTTATTACAATCACAAGTGTTTTTTTGTGTATAAATTCCCACCTCCAACACCATCAAAAACCTCTTCCTTCCTTCTCCCATTTCATCTCCTATATTTTCTTGATTTTTATTTTTCTCTCTCCTAGGTTTTCTCCTCTGATTTTCTTGATTATATACTAATATATATATAATCAAATCCATGCAATAGTTTTCATGTGTAAGAATTCATCAATACTATGATTCAAAAGTAGTGATAATGTCACCTGTACTCAGTGAAATACTCCTCTCCGGTTTTACAGTGAACTCAGCTCTTCGTCTCGGCTCTCACCTCGTTCAATCCCTCTCCGTCGTCTTCCTCTATTGGTTTTATGTTTTTTCATGAACAAATTATAATCGAAAATCCATTTTTATTCATATTTATATATATCTAATTAATCGTTATTATATTAATCATTTGAACATACACATATATATTTATAATTGCATGGCTTCTCCTAGTACTATTACCGGAAACTCATCGGGATCTGATTTTCAAAGCTCTCAAGAAAACACGACCGACGTACGAAAACGCAAGCGCATGCTCTCGAACAGAGAATCCGCAAGGAGGTCGAGGATGAGGAAGCAGAAGCACCTGGACGATCTGAAATCGCAGTTGACTAATCTAAGGTCCGAGAATCATTCGATCCTGACGAACATGAATCTTGTGGCTCAGCTTCAACTGAATATGGAATCTGAGAACTCTGTTTTGAGGGCTCAGATTTCTGAGCTGCACCACAGGCTGCAGTCTTTGAATGATATTGTAATGATTAGCTGCATGAGATCAAAGGAATCTACTCATAATAGTAATGCATTAATTAATGTTAATGAGGATTATGGTGATCATAATTATCAGATGGTGATTAATGGTGGTGGTGGGGTTGTTGATGATTTCTTGATTCATAATCATTGGGGTTTGGTCCATGTGAACCAGCCAATCATGTACTGATCATAATCAAGATTCATTAATCCATGGCCTACTTTTATTCAAATATATATACATATATGTATATGTATATGCAAGTATTGGTTGTGTTTTGTATTTCAATAAATAGAAAGTGGGATGTAACAGTCTGGTCTGGTCTGGTCGATGCTACACTATAATATATATTATTTTTGTGGCATTTGGATCAAATTAAAACACACTATGTGTGTGTTGTGTGTTGTATTTCAATAAATTGAAAGTGGGATGTAACGGTCTGGTCGATGCTACACCTGAATATATACTAGTGTAGTGTTTTTGACATTTAGATCAAATTGAAGTCACACTATGTGTGTTGTGTGTTGTATTTCAATAAATAGAAAGTGGGATGTAACAATCTGGTCAATGCTAAACCAGAATATATATTAGTGTAGTTTTATTGACATTTTGATCAAATTAAAACACATACACTATGTGTGGTGTGTGTGATTCAAAAGTGGAAATTGAAATGATGTAATAAAATATAATGTAATGAAAAAGCAATTTGAAAGTTAGTGATTTTGTTTGATTTAATTTGTTGGAAGTAAATTGATCATATAATATAGTGTCACTATATCTATATGTACTAAACTTTAACAATTATGTATGAAAATTGAAAAAGTGAAGCTCCCACTATTCACAACAAGACAATGCCCTTTTCACTAGTCCAATGGATATGTAGCAATTGGTGTTCCAATTAAGAATTATATTGTAATTTAATTGATGTGTAAACATCACCCCCCATAGCTTTAAGTTATATATTTATATATTATTGCATTTATTTAAGAATATAATGGCCTAACTAAGTATAAATATAATATTTGTGTGGTGGGTGTTATGTAGTTGGACTAGTGTAGTATTATTTTGTTGGCCTTTGGAGCTTTTGAAAAAAATGAGGGAGTGACATCATTGGGTTTTGAATTATTGAGGATGGATGAATAGACAACCTAATTTATAAGACAAAATCCACAAGCTAACTCTTTCATGCAATAATGCAATTCTTATTGATTGTGGCTTTTTGGCCTTGTCTGATAATAATAATAATAATAATTATTATTATAATAATAACAAAAATGTATCTTAATTTGTATGAATTATGTGCAAATCCATTCAAGATCATTAACTAGAAGGACCTATAATAATTTGTTGGTCCCTCTAGAAAGTTCTATTACTCGATCACATAATTCGCACCAATGTTTCACACTTTATTTATTTATTTGTAACTCTTTTTTTGAATATTCATTGTGCACGAGTTGCACTGTCAAAACTTCCTTCTAAACTCTACTCTTTTAGTCGTCGGAAAGTTCACCACACGTCGGGTTTAGAGGGCGGTGACGAAGCAATGAACGGAATATAAAAAGTACGAGAGATCGATAGTTTAAGAAGAAAACGTAAAACGTAACTCTTATAACCAGGATTTGTAAACTTGTTTTTCTTATGAATAATAATAACATCGAAGAGTTTATTAATAATTCGAAATAACTTAGGCTTTCTTTTTACTATTGATTAGTACTCTTAATTAAATAATTATTTATCATATATATATATATATATATGTAAAAAGTATATATAAAATTCAAAACATGGTACAATATTGTGATCTGTAAGAGAATAAAGATTATTCGATCTCCTCAAAGAATACTGAATACAATTAGAAGAAGAAACCCATGTGCATGTGCATATGCACGTGCATGTGTAACTACTGGAATCTTGAAGAAAAAAATAAAACAATTTTGATCTTGGAAATTGGAATTAAATAAAGAAATGATATTCTTCAACTATTCTTCTATGAATAATTATCCAGACTTCTATGCTATACATAATGAAAATTACACCGGATAGATTTTTATCGTTCGTCTACATCCAATAATAGTAAAAATTTACCATATTTATTTCACCCAATATAGTATAGTATAAATCGAGGCACTACGGGCATAATTATCTAGACTCGAGTGTGCTAATTAAATATATATTAATTGAGTTAATTAAAGCAAATCTAAGCAGCATAAGGTTTCTACTTTCTACACTACAACAAAAGGGAGATAAACATAATAAAAGTGGGGTATATACCATATGATACCCCACTCAACATATATAATAGTTTATTAGAGAAATTAAACATAGATTAATTAAGTTTATCCATTTTTTTAATTGGTTGCTTAGCTCATTGTTGCAGTCATGCATCAACTTGCTTAGATAATTAATTATTATTTTAATCGAATTAATTTAATAATTGACGTAAGCAAAGTATATTATTAATTAATAACAAAAGGGCTGCCCCATTCTGCTCACAACGTAATATTATTAGTCAAATTAAAAAGTTTTGATGTTTACTGATGGCTGTGTACATATAAACATTTGTATGTATGTGCAATTTATATATTATATACTGTAATAGTTTTTTTTTTTATATATAATTATTTTACCTAAAAAATAAAATTTTTTTTTTCTACTCAAGTAGTGTATTTCTTGGATTTTAAATTATTAATTAATCATAACATACTTCCTTTTACATTAAAATAAATAAATAAAATAAAAATGCGCTCCAGAGAAAGAGATCTGAATATCTGACCAGTCCACAAATTAAAGTTGTCATGCTGATCTACGATTATGCCATTATGGATTAAAGATAATTAGCTTCTTAATTATTAATTAAATCACCACTTAACAGTGCATATGTATGGGGTTGGCACAAACCTCCATTAATTAATCAAGCAAGAAAAAGTCATTACACTAATTAAATCATAATATGATTAAGATTAAATAAACTATGTGCCAACCTTAAGCCCACAGTTTAGGTTTATAAAAGGAGAATCCAAGGGAGTGAAGCAAAGAATTTACAATTCAATAAATTATATTAGGTAAATAGCACTTAATCCTCTTTATTACAAATTTTTGCAGATAACTCTCTTGTACTCGTAATATCAGCATATAACTCCCTTGTAGTTTAGGGATAACTTCTGTTAGTTTTTCCGACAAATTTAACCGCCTGTATTAAACTTCAAGGGGTTCATCTGCAAAAATGAATGGAAAAATGTAAGCACAAGGGGTCATCTGCAAAAAGAATTTGAAGTTTGAAGTTTGACGGAAAAACTAAGGAAAGTTTTATCCCCGTAAACACAAGGGGGTTATGTGCTGATAGTACGAGCACAAGGGGGTCATATGCAAAAGCTTGTAACCACGGGGGTTAAGTGCTATTTACCCAATTAAATGTTTTTTTATAAAAAAACATACGAGTTTATGATGGCCCGACCCATCAATTAACTAGATCACAAATTAGGCCTTTTACCGGCCCAACCCATTTTTTTGAACTCGACCCGTTGTAAGTAACTGATATTACCCGCCAAATCACTAACCAGCCCAAAAAACAAAATCTTAAAAAATTCAAAAGAAAATGTCACCACCCTCATCAGACAATAAACCTCCGTCCGCCGCCGTTGTAAACCCTAGCGGGTGGCGGTTCTCATGGGAAGCCCAATCGCACACGCCGATACTCCGCTTACTCCTATTCAACCCCGACCTAAATCCCTCAGCTCAATGCAGAGACCTCAAACTCAGCCTTCTCCCGCAACAGTCTCAGCTTACGGCGTCGTTTCTGGAAAACGAATCTCGAATACAGCAATTGGTTCGGGTTCCTGTACCTCGGGTTTTGATTGACCCGGAATCTCCGCTCCATTTCAGGGTATTCGATGACCACATTGAGGTTAAGCTCGTTTTGCTACTTCCGGTTGACCATCCCCTCGTTTCGGATTTTGATTCAATCCTTAGTAACGAAGAAAACAAGGATGAGCTTCGTCCGCTTTCTTCGGATTCTGGTAATTGAAAGTCTGTCATTTAGTTTTGTTTTAATCACATTTGCTATGATTTATTTAAATTGAAGTAATTGTTTTAGTTATGTTCAAATGTGACTTGTTACTCAATGTTTTTTTTTTTTTTTTTTGAATTTCAGATTTAAAGAAGTTGTCTTGTATGAAAGAGATACACTTCTACTGCAGAAATTGCTCGTCTAAGTTGACAAAGGATCTCAGGTAGACATTGATTTTATCTTTTAGGTGTTTATTCAGTTATTCGACTTTGTATTTTCGACTGTGTCTGAATAGATTTTAATTAGTATCTGTTTTGTTCGGATTGGATTGTTGTTGTTGACAGTAGCACTCTTAATATTTTGATACGAGGTTTGTTAGGATGAATAAATCATTGTCCAAAAATGTTGGAAATGGTGCTTCATTTTCATTGTCGATTTATCTACATAAATATTCTCAATGAAGAAACTGGGAATTAGTACATTGTGGGTCAATTTGGTTCTAATTTTTCAATGTGTTTATTTTCTGTTATAGCCCTTTTTATGTTCGTAATTGTGTTACAGATACGTGAAGGATATGCCATCCGTTAATTGGGCGGATGTTGCTGATAATTGGTTTGGGAATTGTTGTTGTTCGTTTGGTGGTGTAACTGAGAAGCTGGTTGCAGATTATGCAAAATCCTATACTTGTGCCCCAGGTGTATGCCTTTTGAGTACATCATCTGTTCTTTTATGCAAGAGTGATATTCTGGGATGCGAATTCCCTGATTTGCAGCCCAAGAAAAATTCGGAGGCCGATCTAAATTCACCCCGTGAAAAGTGTTCGAGTAGAGTTTTACTTAACGAGCCGTGTACTCAAGTTCGAGCTGTAAAATCACCCTACTCGGAAGATAAGCAGATGTGCAATGCAGAAAAAGGAAGTTCGAAAAATTTAGTAGATGATGATAGTTTATTATGTACCTTCCCTTTATTGCAGATTGAAGAAAACAATGTGGAAAAAAGTCAAATCTGTGATACTGGATGTTGTGCTTCAGATGAGTTGAGCGCCTCTCCAGCGGTGGGAATGCGTGAAGGAAATGTTGTACTCGAAAATCAGAAAGTGTTTCTTGATGGTTACCTTGGAGATGGTTTCATGGTTAGGTCTTCGGGGCTTTCGAAAGATATTCAGTGGATCGAATATTTATGCCCAGAGTGCTCGTCTCTCGTTGGAGCATATCCTTGCTTTGATGATAATGTGCCGTTAGATGGTGGAGTTCGTCTTTTCAAATGCTATATTTCAACTTGTTTGCCTTCCAATGGATCTGATGATGCATTTCAGTAAGTTCCTTAAGATCTGCTTCTTCTCCTTCTTGATTTTTATGGTCTTTATACTTTTTTGATTGTTATCTTAAATTCATGCCTTTAGTGAAAATATTAACTCGTGTATCAAAATTGACCTTCGCTTTCGTTCTGAACACGTAGGCTTGGTCGCGTTAGTTAATCATTTCCAAGGGTTAATTCAAGAATCATCCCAAGTGGTATCACAAAATATTACTCTAGTTTATGTTTTTTTTGTACTATGAAAATTACTATGTTAATGCGACGAAGATCATGGAAGAACATAACAATAAGGAAAATTAAAGTTAATAACATGTATAATTAAAGTGGCAGATAAAGTAGTTTCTTGAAATTAATTGCTCGTTTTTCTTTATGTCTTCTCCTCTTGTTCTTGAAATCGTTGTTTGTGATTAATTCTTGATCATCTAGTTATGTGTTAATTGTGTCCTCTGAATAGGAATTACACCCTAGAGAAGATATTTGCTAGTCAGTTGCTGGAAAGTGCACGGGATGAACTATCGTTCCGGACTATAGTTAGAGACATGCAAACAAAATCGCCATTATTGCAAATTGTTCTCCTAAATCCAAATTCATGGGGCTGTGCTGGAAGTTTGCACCCTACAGGACCATCTCCGCAGTTAATTTTGTATCCCATTATCAAAACCCTATTTACTTCTGCTAGTCACGGCATGGAGTTGGATTTAAGGTAAGCTACTTAGAAAAGTCGGTCGACAGTTGACCGATTTTTATATCATATTTTACATTATTATAATTATTTCCGATTGTAAATTTGATTTTCTTTGTGGCTCTTGTCTGTCTTTGCTCGAATATAATAAACACAGGACTCTAGACGATTGGGTGAGAAAGAATCAAGCTGATGAAATCTACATGTTTTCATCTCAAATAGTCGAATTAATCCGAGTTCTGGAGCTGGCCAACACTCTATCTCCACCGGCATGTACGTCATTACAGGGTTTATTTTTATCATCCATGCGGAGATAAAAAAAAATAGTTCACCATTTTCAGTTCTTGTCTAGAGACAAACTCGAAAAACCAAAGATAACTGTAAGTTTTCGTTCTAACCCAAAATATATCGGGGAAAAAGAAAAGAAAAGAACCAACGAACTTGTTCATTGCGATTGTTGCTACTTTACATAATTAAAAAATTCGATCTTTCGTATCGTAGTTTAAAGATTTTTAGTCGTAAACATGGGGCGGTCGAGCAGTGTTGCATGGAATGGAATAGAGAAAGCTTTTGGTTATTGATTCTTTGAAGAGAAAAAATGCTTTGGAGGTGACCTTTCAGAAGTCAAATATATACATCTGCTCTCTCTATAGAGAGATTGTGCTTACCTTTTATGAGAGGTCAAGTACTTAAAGTGGAACTTATAATGGGAATATCACAACGCTACATATCTCTCTCTCTCTCTCTCTTTTTCATATTCTCTCTACATTATTGTTACATGGTCAAAATACCCTTCATTTTTTGTCAAATGTTCATAAGCTTTTCTTATAGTTCGACTTAACTCGTTTACACCTTAATTTTCTACTTATACACGATTGATCGATGATTCATTTACTATACAGGGTAAATTACGGCCACCCTCTCATGTTTGGGTAATTCTAATAACCGCTCCCTCAACTATGAATATCCTTACACGTTCACTGTTGCGGTGTTAAATTTAGTGGAATGTTCTAGATTATGTGGAATATTCTCCTGTTTGTATCCGTTTTACTTCATTCGAGCTCCACATTTTGAAATAAGATGATCATAAGATGTATCTCTTGGCTTGTATATATTAGATTGTGGTGCATCAGAAATTGCATATTTGCACAAAACGAGTACAAATTAGAGAACATTTCGCGGAATCTAGAAGATTCTGTTGAATTTGACATATCATAAGGGTGGTGGCGTTTGTAACTACCCAAAGAAAAATGTTTTTTTTTTTCGTAATTTAACCTTACCTCAAGAGTGGTCGTAATTTACTGTAAAACAAACTCAACTAGTCTTTATACATGACCTGTGGATGTTATATTAGGTCAAATTAAATGAACGTCACACTTTATATAACATAGAATAAAACCCAAAAAGATAAACAAATTAAATTGTCATAATGCCTGATTACTGCAAACACATATATTGGAATGGGACCCGTTATGATTTTGTTGTGCCTATGCACAATTGATGGAACAATATATACATATATTCCTTGTGGTCATGGTGCAAATTGATTTTCTTTTGAAATAAATTGATAAAAAAGAAAATGGAAAAAAAGTCAACAGAATCTGATATTTGGCTCTATAAATAGAGACCATGAAATATTAGGTTTTTGCATGTCTGAGACTGAGAGTCATAAGAAGAAGATAGGTTCTTACATGAAAGCAAAAGTCCATGTTTGATAGCCAAGGATGACTTGCCTGAAGCTCCACTCTTAGGGGTTTTCTTGTCTTTTCACTTCAAACTTTTGAAATTGTCTAAAATTGGACACCAGGCAGTTTCCTTGGCTAACCTGACTGGCTTTTGTTTCTCATGCTAGGCCCTTTTCTTTATTATCTTCCTTTCAAATCGTGTTTTTACATATTTTGCGCTCGTTGTCGATCGAAACGGAGATCAGCTTGGCCTCAAATACTTGGCCAGGTACGTTTTTTCGTCACAGCATTTCACTTCCGTCTGGTGCCTTAAACATATGCGTCGTATCTATCTATCTGTCGTAAGAAACGTTATTGTAGTAGATGCATGCCTGCAGACCCAAGCTTCTTAATTTGATCCGTTATCAATAAAGAATGCACGATACTCTACGAAGATCGTATCAAATGAGAAAATTGTTTGAAGCAGTACATCTTCCGTTTCAAATTAATTGTTCATTCGTTGAATTGTCTTTGTTATAATCCATCTTTTTACATACAATTTCACTGAGGGTTTGACAGTAATTGTCCACGTGGCGGATGTCCGGGTATGACTGGGCCACCATCGAATGCTATCGGCGCTTGTGTGTGTTGACTGTGCACGATAAGACTAAGGTTTGCACATTTTATACCATCAATTGTAACACATGAACTGAATACTAATTAATATGATATACAAAAAGAGTTAAATTAAACCTAATGTAATTATTTTTTCTCTCTACTAATTTTGATTTTTTATTTTATTTATCTCAATGGAATACTTACTATGTTATTCCATTATCATATATCGTGAATGACATTTTCATAATTATTTATTTTTCTTGTCGACGAATACACGCATGGATGACTAATCTCTTAACATTTTCGAACAGAAGAATTATAGTTTTTGTGAGAAATTAAAGAAAAGAAAAATATATGATTAATGGTAATAATACCGATAAAGCCCAATAATTTACAATGAGTCTACCAACCTAAAAGAAAAGCCCATTGAGGCCCAATATATACATGCATGTATCTACGTTTTAAACCCACCGACAGCAATACCAGTTTTTCTTGCATCAATTTATTTAAAAATAAAAATAAACAAATAAGAGAAGAAAAAGGAAATTGCTTTGTTAATTATTATTGTCCATGACACACGTGAGTGAGGATGAAGATTGAAACTTTTCAATTAGTTCACATTAACTTTTATATTTTTGTCTTTTTACTCTTTAATAAATTTGATAAATTTGTAGGAGCTTATCCGTAATGGGACACGTGTCTGAAAAATATATATTTAATTATATTATTGAATATGTATACAGCATGCAAGAACCCTAACGTGTCCACTTTTGCTGTGCTGCCAACACCTGTATGTTTCGAGTCACCGCATTCATTTTATTTAATCACTCTCTCTCTCTCTATATAATCCTCTTGCTTCTCACTCCTAATCCATCACAATCCCATTAATCACTTATCACCACTGGATTAAACAATCAATCAATCGTAGTTTATAGTTTGTGTGTTTGAGAAATTTGAGGTTTTTTGTCTGAAGATCATGGCAGGATACGGCGGCGAATACGGCCGGCAGACTGACGAGTACGGCAACCCCATCCGTCAAACTGACGAGTATGGCAACCCGGTTCACCACCCTGGTGGTGGCCACCATACCGGCACCACCGGAGCTTTCGGGACTGGTGCAGATCCGTTCGGCACCACCGGAACCACTGGAGCTTACCCTACTGATACCCACGGAGGCGCCACCGGTACCACCGGAGCTTACGGCACCACCACCGGAGGATATGGAACTCACGGCGGAGGGATTGGTACTGGAACCCACGATGCAGGCTTGGCTTCCGCTGTCGGCGGCCACCACCGCCGCTCTGGAAGCTCCAGCAGCTCGGTATAAATAATTTAATGCTTTTAATTTAATTCAAAATATATATAGTTGTAATGGTGAAATTTTTTTGTGGCAGTCGTCTGAAGACGACGGGATGGGTGGGAGAAGGAAGAAGGGGCTGAAGGAGAGGGTGAAGGAGAAGCTGCCAGGTGGCGGCCACAAGGACGACCGGCCAGGGTACACCACAGGTGGCGGCGGTGTTGGTTATGAACCTGAGTATCATGAGAAGAAAGGAGTGATGGAGAAGATCAAGGAGAAGTTGCCAGGTGGTGGCGGCGGTCATAGGGAAGATGTGCCGGCGCACACCACCACCACAGGCGGCGCTGGGTACGGTTACGAACAGGGCGTCGGTGGAGCTGAATACCGCCCGGAACATCACGAGAAGAAAGGGATGATGGAGAAGATTAAGGAGAAGTTGCCAGGTGGTGGCCACCATTAAATACTTACATATATGTATAAATGAATACGTACAGCACACTGGTATATATAGTTGGGTTTGATCTTTGTTTTATTTGAGATTTTACTTCCTGTAATAAGCCATGTTCCTCCTTCAGTTTATGATCCGAGGTGGCATTATGTATGTGTGTGTGTGTTTCAGTGTGTTGTGTCTCTATTTTGTCTGTTTGTTGTTGTTCATGTTTGGGGTTTCGTTTTCACATTTCACAGTTTATATAATTCTACTCTTTTTTATACATAAAATGGAGTTCATCTTGTATATATATTTATATGTATGTATGCTGCATGCAATATACTATACATTGGGTTTGTGTACTGCCACAAAAGAAGAAAAAATTATGTAATAAAATACATTTAATCATTTAAATTCCCAGAAATGGGCGATGCAGCCAAAACATTCAATTGTATTGTTCATCTCACCATGCTTTTCTCTCTTAGCCTTTGAATCTTGCAATATTGCTATCTATCGGAAACCTGCACCACCAGAAACTACGATTATGTAAACTCAGCATTCCTCGCACTGTTCCAAAATCGGAAACTTACCTATCGAAATTGGCGCAAGTATAAGTGTAATTTTCGGAAAAAAATATCGAATTGAAAATTTAAATTGAAATCTCATATATATATATATTCCAACTCCGATTCAAAAAGAGGATAGGAAATCAGAAATTTCGGAATTTGGAATGAAAAATATGGTTACAAAATTGTAAATGGCGGGAATCAAAACTTAGATTCCGATTTTCACCCCTAAAACGGCTAAAACCTACTTGTGTAACAAATTATTGGGCGGAAAATTCGTACATTAGGAGACACAGTTCTTGATGGAATCGGCGTTGATCTAACTAACTATAGCAAGGTATAGCCTATAGCGCAAGAAAGTGTACCTGAGTGCAGCCCCTCAATGCCCGTTTCTTGGTTAACGCCACCACCGAGGTTTTTCTTGGTTTCGCCTGTTGCTCCTGATGCTTCTAGAAGCAGCTTTGTTTCGGCGAGCGATCTTACTTCAAAACTGCTTCCGGCTATAAATCACCAAAAGTTACGGCACGAACACGCGCCATCTTCAAAGTGATGGAACCTCATATTATCCCTCACGATGATCTTCCTCCGACTAATTTCAGACACACCACACATGAACAAGTGGCAATCCACACATATCCTAAGATTCTTCACGATTCTAATCGCGGATCCATCTTCTGCTATAAGCAACGCATACGCCAAAGCCAACTTCTCGCTATGCTTCATCAAGATTCGTCTTTTCTCCTCCTCATTCACATCATAAAGCACCGAGCTCAAATCCGGCTCGTACCCATTTAATTTTAATCTCTCGATAAGATTCTCCAACACCTCGTTAATCTCCGTCGACCTAGGGTGAGTCATATTACCTGCGTAAAACTCATGAATCACCCCTTTTTCGCCTTCGACACAACTAAAAGCAGGGGTTTTTCTCAACCCCTTTTCACTTATCAATTTCCTCACCTTCAATGAATCTTCCCATCTTTCCGCCTTCACGTACACATCCGCAAGTAATATATAGTTTCCGATATTAACCGGCTCGAGCTCGAACAAATGTCTCGCTGCAATTTCAGCAATATCTGGATTCGCAAATGTACGACAAGATCCAAGAAGAGCTCCCCATATACCTGCAGTGGGCTCCATAGGCATGCTTGTAATAACATCGAGCGCTTCATCTAACCGTCCAGTTCGACCGAAAAGATCCACCATGCAATTATAGTGATCCGCACATGGAGTAACCCCATAAGTAGACTCCATTATTTCGAAGAATTTTTTACCTTCCTCGACCAATCCTGCATGGCTGCATGCAGTTAGAACCCCAAGAAAAGTCACTGCATTGGGCCCCACATCGGTTTTGGTCATCTCCTCGAATAATTCAATAGCGGAATTTGCACGACCATGGTATGCAAGACCTATGATCATCGAACTATAGGAATAAACGTCTTTTTTATGCATGTTCTTGAATATTTCGTACGCTTCTTCCAAGCACCCACACTTTGAGTACATATCAATCATCGCCGAACCTAAATGCGAATCTTTGGCAATGGAAAAGCTCGATTTCTCGGCTATGTCACGAACCCAATTCGCATACTTAGCTGCTCCTAATTGTGCACATGCGTTTATTACACCTACTAATGTGATCTCGTCGGTCTGCACACCTGAAATTTGCATTTTTTCGAAATACTCCAATGCTTCCCTCGGTTTAGCGTTCTGTACGAAACCAGTCACCATGGCAGTCCACAACACCATATCCTTTGCAGGCGCCCGATCAAACATCTCGCTTGCGGAATCCATACGCCCAGCCTTTGCATAGGCATCGATGAGCGAGGTCCAAGAGATCAAATCTCTCTCAGGCGATTCGTCGAACACCTTCCTCCCGCTACTCAACCACCCACATTTCAAATACAAGTTGATCAAAACGTTGTCCACAAAATAATCCACTTCGAACCCACCCAATTTCACACACTCACAGTGGAGCTGCCGGCCCAAATCGACCTTCTTTTCACTCGCGGAGGCACTCAACAACGCGGTGAAAGTGAAAGACACAGGTGTAAGACCATCTCTCCTCATCGAATTATAAACAAACACCGATTCTTCAAGCATCCCATCAATCGTATACCCCCTAATCAAAGCTGTGTAGAGGAAAGCGTTAGGGTGTCTCACCTGGGAAAAGATTGAAACTCCGTAAGGCAGCATAGAAACGCTTGTTTTCGACAGCATTCGCACGAGCTTCGCTATAACATACGATGATTGGTGGAGGCATCTCCGGATTATATAAGCGTGGGTTTGCTTGATTTGGGAGAGGTTCGTGCAATCATGGAGGGTGGAAATGATTTGGGACTCCAACTGTTTGATTTTTTGCAGCTGAGAAAACGGGACAAATGGGACTTCGTGGCCGGTGAAGATGGTGGGCTTAGTAGAGATGGTGATTGAAGCTCTGGCTATGGGTGTAATGATCTTCTTACAGAGTGAAACCATTACACATTTACTCAGGCTTTAAGCTTTGGAGGAAATGTTTGAGTTCAAGATTGTGAAAAACAAGTAGCTGTTCTAATTTCTAATATCTAATTTCTTTTGGTTTTACAGTCCGACCAATTTGTCATTCGGGTCGGGTCGGATTAGACTAACCCATCAATTAATTCATTATTTAATTTGGACCCATCTTCCATCAATTCTTTAGTTAGCTCCATCTTCGGCTCCAGCTCCATTTGTACCCAATTTCCTCAAAACGTCGTCGTTTCCTGCCAAATCAATTGTCCTGCTCAAATTCAAAGATCAAATTTTGTTAAGCCCTAGCCCCTCTTCGATTTGCTCGGAAGAGTTTTTAAGGTTCGTCTCTCTCTCTAGGGCATGCACACATTAGACGCAATTGGGGAATGGTTCTTGATAAGCGTTATGAAAAAATGCACGGAATCTGTTCGATGAAATGCCTCTAAAAGCTTTAAGCATATTTGTGTGGGGAGATTTATTGCTTTCATTTTATGTAATGTTGAGTTGATTTTCTGGTCTCAAACAACACTACTTGGAAAAAACTGGAAGCTATATAGTTGCATTATGATTTATGACTGAGGCTTAATCATTCATTGAGCAAATTCGTTTCATTGCTCAAAAGTTTTTAGATATTTGATTTTTTTTTTACTATCTGGTGTAGTTGATCTTGCGTGTTGTACTGCAGCTGAAAAAGATCGAAAAGATTCATCATGTTTGCAACTGCAATAAGGTATATAGGGAAGAAACCAAAACCGAAGATGAAACCGATAGAACTCAAAACTCCACCGGAGCAGACGCAGACAATAACGAGGGTTATTTTCGACATTTTGAAGGAACACGGTCCTCTAACCATTTCCGATACCTGGGAACATGTTAAGGTATACTTTTTTCTTGCATTACAAACATGACTTGCGTAAATACAGTATAACTGTATATGTTGCAACTAAGCATATATTAACTGTATATGAATCGTCTTCTTGACTTACAATGCATTATTCAATCCAATTTTATATCCGACAATACATACGATGAGAGCTATGTCAATGTAAATATAAGCCAACTCGATTTGTTATGCTACAGCATGAAATAGATTGAATTGGCTTCTTTAGCATTGGCCAATGCATATCTAACAGTGATAACTAGCCTTTATATCTATTGTGTTTTTTCCTTAGTTGCCTTAGTTTTTGCTGATGTGGCACTTAACACTACTTTGAACTATAAAAGCAATCGTGTTGTCTCGTCCATTCTGATTTAGTCCTTATCTTGAATGATCCCATATGATTCTTGATCTATGATTACATGGCAATGAGGCTCAGTCGAAGTCTTTATCTGGTATTGGTATTAGATACATATTATCGGGTGATTACATTAGTTGTTTGATTGATCCTCTAACATCTGGTCTTGAACTTTTCAGACTCGAAATTACAATTAAAATGGCTAATTTTTTTTATTTTTTATTTTTGATTATGATTAGGAAGTTGGTTTGAAAGGTCTGAATAGCAAAAGGCACATGAAAATAGTAATGAGATGGATGAGGGAGAGGCAGAAGCTAAGGCAAATATGCAACCATGTTGGCCCTACCAAGCAATTCCTATACACCACGTGGTTCACGAAACCCGATGTCGTAAAACAGGCTAGGCCCGTAAGCGATCCTTCGAGACCAAAACCGTGAGCATTTTACGCTTAAGTGGCTTCTTCATTTTCTTAATCTCGACTATTACAAAGAAACCGTGTTTTTTTTTTATTATTATGACAGAAGCATGTATCTATAATCATGCTTTGTAAATATTATTAACTTTACGAGATTTTACAAATAATTAGTACGCGTTCGCTCATTGGAACTTGGAAGTATTTGAGAAGATTCAAAATGATTTTAACAATTTGAAAGTTATATCTATTGAAAGAATCAACGGCCCCGGATTCGTAGTGAATAATCAAAACATAGATGTTATGTGAAATGTGAAACACTTAACATAACATGCAGCGGAATAAATGAAAATAAACACAAAATTTAATATCTGCATGTAAATATTTGTGGACTGCCTTTAAAGGCGAAATAGTTATATAAACAATATTACAAGAAAGGAAGTAAACAATCTCGCCTATTATGAAGGTCTTTTACACAGATAAGATCTTTTGAAGAGTCAAGTCTAGCTTTTTCGATACAAACTAACAGATCCATGCACCCAAGACGAGTATTTACAACATACTGCAAAAGAGATAAAAGTAACTCAAATATATTCTCTTCTTCACTCCAAATGCTCTTATTTTTTTCTTCTAAAATCCGTAGTGGAAACTAGCAATGTGTACTGGTATTTATAGACTTCAGAACGCGTCCACTAACTGTACAAGTTAAACGAGAAAATAAGTACTGAGGTAATGTGTTAGTGGATTAGTGAGGTAGAATAAATAATCAACCACTAATCTATTATTAATAACAATCTAACAGCTGATTTAATTACTGAGGTAATGTGTTAGTGGATTAGTGAGGTAGAATAAATAATCAACCACTAATCTATTATTAATAACAATCTAACAGCTGATTTAATTTAAGTTGTAGGAAAGTTAAAACATGTGGAATAAATCGTCTTCTACTTTTATCTATTACAATGAATCACATTATCGGTTATTTAATTAGTTAGTAGGAAGTTAATTTGAATTAGTTTAATCCAAATTAATCAGAAGGGCTGCCTAAATTTTGTACACACGACTAGTTAGATAATTATTATTTTCATACAAAAAAGATAATTAAAAAAAATATGTTTAAATACTAATGTTAATGTATTAAGCAAAACCGACCAACTTATTTAAAGAATGGGCCGACCTGATGCAAAGCCCACCAGGCCTAATAAGGGCAATTTCGTCATTTGACAATGGACGTTGTTGCCGGATCCCGAAACGGCGTCGTTTCTAACAAGGCCTTCACTTCTATGCTGAAATTATTTTGTTGGTAGGAACAATTTCAATTGTGCACACTCTGCACACGAGCTCATGTTGATTTTCAGGAGGAGAAATATTTCTACCGAATCGATGCATGGATTTCTGGTTACAGTAATTGCAGGTAAAAAGACGATGCACGATAGCTTTGAATACATTATTTTATTTGGTACTAATCTGTATATATAATGTATTTCATGTTTTCGTTCTTCCTGGGATTTGGCAGTTGGTGCATTTGCGTGTGTTTCTCTGCTCTGTTCTTTCTTCTGTATGTAATAATCTTTTTTTTTTTTTAATTTTTGTCCCTAATTAATTGATTTGATTTTTCATGTTTTTCAGCTGTTATTTTTAGTGCATTTGGAGCTGATTCTGTTGCTGTGCCGAGCACTAATTGTTACGCGCTCGATAACAGCAGTCATATTCATGATTTTGTATCCTTATTATTATGATTTAAAAAAAAAAAAAAAAATGAAAATATATTCTTTTTGAAATTAGGCAAATAGGGTTGAGATTTGAGAATCTGGTAGTTTCTTGATTGTGTGCCATTATTTTATTTAGTGAACTGAGAAATGACCTATCGGTTTCGCCTCTATTTAATTTTAAATTGTTTCCTCTCTCATGGATTCTCTTAGAGTAATTTGGTTGGACAACTTTTCGAGTATGATGATGATAAGGTAATGTCTTGTACGTAATTAACGAATCAAGGATACTTGTGCTTGATAGTTTCTTTTCGAATTTCTTCAGAGTTGAATTTATCACTAAACATCTCGTATTACTGTATTTCATGCAGGATCCTGATCTGGTGATACGCTTCTGTAAAGATGTCGAGACTAGATCTTCGACGGTACGTGATACTTAGTCCTCTCGTTTTATTTAAAGAAAAAATGAGATGAATTTGTTTTTGTGTTTACCTTCCAAACCATGTTCTATGATGATATTGCTCGATTTAAGTTTAACCATACTAAAATGTCAAATGGATAGGGTTGACATGAAATTTTGCACTATGCACGACATAAAATTTATACGCTAATACGATTTTCACATGCTAATTTTTTTTGACATGTTAAGTTAATCTGTTTAAAATGAGTACTGATCGTGTTTTTCATTATTGAAAGGTAAAACTAAATATGGATCCTCGTGTATTCATGTGAGTTGCCTACAAAAGAGAGGGGCAGAATTTGAGTCGTAATATAATATATTTGGTGTTCTATGAAATCACGCGCATCTAATCAGTTGTAACTAAAATTGCAACTAAAACAGGAAAGAAATGAAATAGCATACTTCCTATCTCGATTTCCATTAATATCCACTGTAAAATCACTGGCTCGAAACATTTCTAGTTATCCATTTCTTGGAGTAGTCTTTTTTTTAATTTTTTTGGAGTGAAATCGATGTTCTCGCCATATTCATTTTGGTTATTTGGATATGCAAGTTGCTAATTATTTAAATGTCTTTGTGAAATAGGGATATGTGGATTTTGGAAGATTTGATAAGTTCGATCATTTTAATGCCGGTTCAGGGGATGCTAACTTTGTTCAGGTAATTTTTGATTTGTTGTGATAAACTTCATTTTTTGATATGTGGTTATTTGAAGTTTTCTTGTTGTCCAGGCTCTTGAAAACCTGATCGTAATTAAAAAAAATATGTTCTACATTTGCAGGAATATTATAATGGTGACCTGAAGAAGTGTGAGACAAGTTTCGATAAATTGGGACGCACTGCTCAGGTCAGATGAATTGTCGTTGTACAATGTTTTTTTGCCTGTTTTTTTGTCGGAGTATACCAATTATTTTCTAACTAAAGCAACTCGTTTCACCATTTTCAGGTAAATGTCATTTGTGGAAATTGTCCAAATGGACAATGTGTAGGTATGTGAGTTACAAATTCTAAAATCTTAGATTGACATGCATCTGTGATTGAACTTATTCTAATAGTATTAGCTAGCTCTTCTATATTATTTTAATCAGGTGTTCACTTTCTTGAAGTGGAATTGCTCGTTAAGAAAAGTTGATTGATTTGAGAATAATTATATAATATTACCTTTTTGTATTTTGTTCGACTGCGAATTATGACCTCATGAATCAGTAGTTACGCCTAAACAAAAATCGACATGGTTTAGATCAATCTAGATCTATAGGCAAGAATGCAATTCTAGATATTAAATAGATGGCTATGGCATTTCTAATCCAAAATTCTTTTTTTTAGACATTTATTTGTGTGTTAAAGGTATCTGTATTTAATAACCGTTTACGTGTTTGCCTTATAGGTGGACTTGGATGCATCTGCAACGTTACATATGAATCTACGTGCAGGTTATTATACAAATGCTAGCCATTATGCTTGTATATTACATCCTTCACTAATTCAATTGAAGCCTTTAGAAAATAGGGTAAATTACGGCCACCCCTGAGGTAAGGTCAAATTTTGCAAAAACCCCACATGTTTGGGTAATTACAGTCACCCCAACTATGAATCTTCCTACACGTCCACCCTTGCGGTGTCAAATTTAGTGGAATCTTCTAGATTATGTGGAATATTCTCCAGTTTGTACCTGTTTTACCCCATTCGAGCTCCACATGTTGAAACAAGATGATAATAAGATGTGTATTTTGGCTTGTAAAATATCAGATTTTGGTGCATCAAAAACTGCATTTTTGCACAAAACGAGTACAAACTAGAGAACATTCCACGGAATGTAAAAGATCTGTTGAATTTGATACCACAAGGGTGCACTTGACACCACAAGAGTGGACGTGTAAGAAGATTCATAGTTGAGGGGGATATGAGGATTTTTTTTCTCGTAATTTGACCTTACCTCGAGGGGGGGTTTGTCCGTAATTTACCCTAGAAAATATTGTCAAACATATCTCGTTCGATGCATATCTGACCATTTTGACAGAAGCTAATATTTACATATTACAAAAAAAAAAGGATGGGGGGTTTGCTGTACACTTATTGAAAGAAACTAGGTCATTCTTTACGAGACAGTGTATAGTTTGAATAAAAATAAGATATTGTTGGACTCCATGGAGTAAAATAATGATCTTACGAGTGATTTTTACTTCCATGATAGAGTACTCGTTGATCTTGCCATTCCATGTGTGGAGCCTGGTTTAAGGGTATTTGAGGGATTTACAGTTGGTTTTCATCCACGTTCATGGGAAATTGTAAGCCCTTTTTCTGTAGACTTTTGCTTGTTGAGTAGTCAACCTTGTTATGGATCGCTTTATTTAAATTGCATATATCATTTCTTGGTTGTAGGTCTATAATGGCATGACTCAATTGGGTTACGAAAAGGCTTACGATGAATTTAGGTACTGATATAATTCTTTTCAAATAATTAGTTACTTATATTATGTTATATATGTTGTACGTAGTAGTTTATATACAAATTTTCTGTGGTTCACTGCAGCTTCAGAACCGAGCAAAGAGATGTAACCCTGTACCTAACTGCAGTTGCTTCTCTATCGAGTTTAGTGCAAAAACCCACAATCAAGGTTTTGTCATTTTTCTTCAATTTTCGCATGGATTCACATTAGCGTGTGTGTATCTTGTTTTTTTTTTTTTTTTTTTTTTTTTAATTCTAATTATTTTTTCTTCTTTTTTGTCCACACCTTTTTCTTCCAGATTTCTCCCGAGCAAGGATTGGATGTTCAGTTATCCGGTTCAGGAGCAAACGGAAAGCCACCAACTACTTTGTCTCCCACAATAATACTTGTGGATTGGAGATGTAAATACACACACACACACACACACACACACACACACACACATATATATATATATATATATATATATATATATATATATATATATATATATATATATATATATATATATATATGATCTCTTTCTATTGGAGATGTAAATAGCTTCATCATTCCATAGGTAAGTTAGATTACTTCGATTTTCCTGATTTTTTTTTTCTCATCTTTTAGGTGAAAAGACTCGCGACACACCTTATGAAGTTGAAATTACCATTCCAGTAGAGAATTATGATCCGGTTCAATTTACTTTTGCGAAGATGTGCGGTGAGCTAATATTTTGGCATATATCCTCTCTTTTTTTTCTCATAACTTGTCTACACTAAATAAAGGATTTATTGCATTCTGCACCCTTGTATTCAGTCTAATTGTGAAAAAACTTCTCGTGCAATTAATATTAGCGTAAACCCTCCTATGATCCAATTTTATTAGCAAATTACCCCCCCTAAAAACACACCATTTAGGGGGTTGTGGGCTAAAAAAAATGCATCATAGGGGGGTTTTTGCTAATATTTATAACATGGGGAGTTTTTTAGCAATTCGGTATAACACAGGGATACTAAATGTAATAAACTCCTAAATAGAAATCCACGTCCATTAGCTCACACATAATATTTGGCTATTTCAATGTAGCTATTGCCTTCTTACATTTGTTTCTGTCCATCTTCTTATAAAAAATGCAATTCTTATTTGAAATGCTAATTACCCCACAAAATGTACAGAGCAGACGCAAAATGAACGGGGCGAGGCTTCCAAAGGATGGGCTATATTTGGAATCATATCATGCATGTATGTTAATTTACTCCTCGGGTTTTCTATTATTATATATATATATATATATAATTTTTTTTTTTTTTGAAATTAAGTCTCATGGATCTTTTAACTGGCTCGTGTTTTTGGTTTTACGAAACAGATCAATTATAGCCTGTACACTGTTCTGTGTTGGAGGGTTCGTTTATAGGACACGAGTGGGAAACCTGGTAGGTTAATTTAATTGCTTAAATGAGTAATCTTTTTCTCTCTTCTCCGTATTTTTATACTTTTGTTTATGATGGTTTATGGTTTATTTATTTACTCTTGTGCATGAATAAAATTTTAAACCTAAATCTGCTGCAGCGCGGGCTCGATGCACTTCCAGGAATGGCAATATTATCGGCATGTTTGGAAACTGTAAGTAGATTTCATTTCGATTGTGAAGAAGTTGAAATATATATATATAGATTTGACCGTTCCATTAATTGCTTGTTTTTGACCTGAAAAATACACAGGCGAGTGGAGGTGTACGTAGCTATACAAATCTTGATGACGCAAATAATCTTTCCGTAGATCAAGCTTCAAGGGATAGGCAGTCAACTGCTGCCACTCAAGGAACATGGAGACCAAGCGATAGAACTTATGGATCGATTTAATCCGAAGGTTTTTTTTTTTTTTTTAGGAGGCTCGTAAATGCACGGAAATAGTTCAAAGATGCACATTTTTTTGTTTTGCCCATGATAATTGAGATTGTTTTTGCTTGTTGTATACAGAAATTCAGCTTATTGTTCTTTCTTGTTTTCTTTATGTCTGAAAACTAGGGACAATGTATGTTTCAATATTATCATCAACTTATATTAGAACTTTCGAAAAAATTGATTTTTTTTTTCCCGAAAGTTTTAATTTCAATCCGATTTGTTCGATTTCCACTCATATATGTAATTCAGAAATGCCGGTTCCTTTTCCATTCCATAGAGAAATTACGACTTGTTCATTTCTCCTATTTCACACAACATTTAAGACTTCTAATTCGATCAACGATGAGAAAACTCACGAGCAGTTCAAAAATCGAATAGAACAAGCGACATTTAAAATCGAATTATTTAAAGAATCTTCTACGTACAAAAAAACTCAAATTACATGCAAAGAAAACGTTTAAGTCAATATAAAGTAAGAAGGATATTAATTAAATATTAAAAAAAATAACTAAAATATATTTTCCCTTTGACAAAATGAAGAGGAGTAGTTGTCCTACTTGTGCCCACAACCTTTATTTGGTTAGGTTTCTCTGCTCCTTCAAAGCAGTCAACCTTCATTCATCATAAGGAGTCAAATGAATACATACAAAGTTTTAAAATAATAATAATAAAAGTCAATAAAACAAAACTTTATGGTTTAGTTTAGATGATTGACTCATGATAAGTTGCACAATAATTGAATTTTGAACTTTTAGTGAATAAAAAGGAAAATATAAATAAAATTGAGAACAATTTAAAGTGATTTTACAAAAAAGGTAAAAAAAAAAATATGATTAAGGATGCACGTGTTTTTGTGCGTGAACGAACGATAGAGATATATTCGATTTATTTCAGCCGATGTAATATTGTATAAACTCTTTTTTTTTTGAGTATAGAATTGCAAGCGAGTATTATATATATTTTTAAAAATAAATGAAGAAATACATCATATAGAAACTCACTTGCATAAAATACTTCATTAACTCTATATTTCTTTCTTTTAAAAACCAAACAAAAAAAAACTATCTTAAAATATTTCTCACCAAAATTAATTTAATTAAATAAAAGAAAGTTCCATTTTCTTCCCACCAAAAGGTTTCAAATATAAATTGCTCTTTTTTTTTTTTTTTTTTTTTTGTCAACAGAGCAGGTGCTGCTAATCCATATTTTATCCATTTTGGATATATTTATCACTCACTTTTACTTTATGGACTTGGTCTTTTCTCATTTTTGATATGTTTGACCTTTATGCCCCTACATTTTTCTCCCCAAAAATCATTATACAAATTCGAATTAAATCAATAAAATAGAAGCATAAATCATTCTAACTCAAAAATCACACCAACTCCAATATTCCAACTCACTCTCACAATTCACAACTCTTTCAAATTTCAATTAGCTCTATAAATACTCAATAGTTCATCTCCAATATTTTCATCACACCAAAGTCTTTCAAATATCAACTAATAATAATATATATAATTGAAATGGCTAAATCCATCAACTTTGTGTTCTTGATTTTAGCTCTTCTTGCTTTTGCACCTCTTTGCTTATGTCATGTTAACACCTTTGGAGGCTACCTATACCCTCAATTCTACGACCGCTCTTGCCCGCAAGCTCAACAAATCGTTAACTCTGTCGTTTCAAAAGCCGTTGCTAGAGAAGCCCGTATGGCTGCTTCTCTTGTTAGGCTTCATTTTCATGATTGCTTTGTCAAGGTTTTTTTGCTCTCTCTCTCTCTCTCTCTCTCTCTCTCTCTCTCTCTCTCTCTCTCTCTCTCTCTCAGGACTTATCTTGCCGGCCAGCCAAACGAGTCGTTAGTGTAATGATCATATATGTACTACATTACTAATAGGGTTACGTTCTTTATCTTATCCATCTTCTTGATATTTTATATGTATGAAGGGATGCGATGCATCGATACTATTGGACAGCGCTTCGGGCATCATAAGCGAAAAGGGTTCGAAGCCCAACAAGAATTCAATTCGCGGGCTTGAAGTGATCGATGAAATCAAATCAGAGCTAGAAAAACAGTGCCCTCATACCGTTTCTTGTGCCGATATCATGGCTCTTGCTGCTAGAGATTCCACTGTTCTCGTAAGTCCGAAAAAATAAAATAAAATAAAATAAATTATTGCATTATACAAGTATACATGCATTAGAAATAACTTTGTATAATTAAATGTAGGCCGGTGGTCCGAGTTGGGTGGTTCCGTTGGGAAGAAGAGACTCGAAAGGAGCCAGTTTGAGTGGCTCGAACAACAACATTCCTGCCCCGAACAACACTTTTCAGACAATTCTCACCAAGTTTAAGTTACAAGGATTAGACATTGTTGATCTTGTTGCCTTATCTGGTACATACACTTTTTCTCCACCCATTTTATTACAACAATTACTATTACATTACAAATTAAGCTTCATTATGATCAGTGGCGGAGCCAGTATTTTATCGTTACATGTCAAATATACACTAAACAAAAATCTATACATAAAAATAGTAGATTCTTGATCAGTGGCGGAGCCAGTATTTTATCATTCCACATCAAATATACACTGAAAAAATAGATTCTTGAAAAGTGGAGGGGGGCCACGGCCCCTTTTGCATGATAACTAATCGATCCTATATATCTCAATTCTTCTTGCAGGAAGCCACACTATAGGGAATGCAAGATGTGTCAGCTTCAGACAGAGGCTGTACAACCAATCGGGGAACTCGAAGCCCGATCCCACACTCGACCAATCGTACGCCGCCACCTTGCGTACCCGTTGCCCGAAATTCGGTGGGGATCAGAATCTGTCGTTCTTGGACTTGGTATCTCCCACAAAGTTTGACAACAGCTATTTCAAGAATCTGCTGAGTTTTAAGGGGCTTTTGAGTTCTGACCAAATTCTCGTGACGAAGAATCAAGTTTCTTTCGAGCTCGTGAAGAAGTACGCTGAGAGCAACGAGGTTTTCTTCGAGCAGTTTGCCAAATCTATGGTGAAGATGGGGAATATTTCTCCATTGACTGGTTTTAAGGGAGAGATTAGGAGCAACTGCAGAAAGATTAATGCTTGATTAATTAATCAAAGTCCATATATGTATTATGTATTTATTTGTCATGTTCATTTCATTTTTCTTATGTTTTTTTCTTGCTTTCAATTATTAATGTTGTTGTTATGCATTTTGGTTATGTTATAATGAGAATCATGTGTCTTATTTTCCTATTCTTCCTAGATTTTAGTAAATTGTGGGAATTTTTTTCGTGTTTTATTTATTTTCGAAATAATTAGAAAACAATTCTATTTAGGTGTAAAAAAATTTAAAAAAATAAACAAACATATTTTTTGGAGCTTGAGCTCAAATTATGGGCTTCCTATAAGGTTCGAATTCATAACCGAGCTTAATTTTAAGTGAATTTAAGCTCGAACTCGACTTTTATGAGTCAAAACTTAAATTATTGTTTAATAATATATTATTACATATTTTTTACAAGATCTAACGAGCTTGACTTGTGTGAATGTTCGAACGAACTTTTGTTGAGTCGAACCTAATATTATTTACACTAGAGGCGAAAATCGGACGAATTAAATCTAAGTTAGCACCTAAAAAAAATTGTTTCAAAAGTAAAAAACTAATTCCATTTTCATTCCAAAAAAATTGAACATCAAAATTTCAGAAATTGGAATGAAAAAAACTTGAAAAAAAAAAATCAAAATTACGAAATTCTTTACTAATTCACATATATAATACATAATAATATTAATATTATAAATGATTTTTTTAGAAAAAAATAGAATTTTTAAAATTATTTTGGAAAGTTAAAACAAAAATAAAAATCTCCAATTATGATTAAAAAAATTAAAAAACTGCGGTAATGGATCTGAAAATGTTGATTTTAATCAAATACGGGTCTGGGTGCAGATCCGAATCAGCCCACCCGATTCTTAAACCCCGGCCCGAGTTCTCATTTCTCACAGTTGGAGGGTTTTCAAGTTTCAGCCAAACCCCGATCATCGTCTTCCTTTTTCCCCAACCCCACTGTAATTTTTTTCTCCTTCGAACTCTGATTTTGCATTACTTTCCAATTTGATCGAATATTCCTTCCGCAATGAGACACCACTACTCTCGTCTCATTTCACAAACCCTCCCCCGCCTCCGCAAACCCATCACTACACCCAATCCCCAAATCGAAACCCCATTAAGAAACCCTAATTTGATCCGAAACTTCTCCGCTTCAGCTCAGGAATCCAAGCCCGCCACATCCGAACGAGTATCTGGAATCGCTGAAGAAATCTCCGGTCTCACTTTGCTCGAAATCTCGGATTTAACCGAAGTTCTGAGGAAGAAAATGGGGATTGAGCAAATGCCTATAATGGCTGTTATGATGCCTGGTATGGGCTTTGCTCCGGGAATGGCCGGTAAAGGCGGCGGCGGCGCCGGTGCGGCGAAAGAAGAGGAGAAGAAGGAGAAGACTGCTTTCGATTTGAAGCTCGAAGGTGGTTTCGATGCAGCTTCGAAGATTAAGATTATTAAGGAAGTGAGAGCGTGTACCGATCTAGGGTTGAAGGAGGCTAAGGATTTGGTGGAGAAAGCTCCGACTTTGTTGAAGAAAGGGGTGACAAAGGATGAAGCGGAGAAGATCATCGGAAAAATGAAGGAGATCGGAGCCAAAGTGATCATGGAGTGAGGTAAAATTTGTTTTGACTTAAAAATGTTGCGTAATTGAGTTTTCTGATTTCTACTGTTTTTGAACTTGTTCTTTGGTTACACTTTGTGATGGATTCTTATAGAAATTAATAAGGTATTCGGAAGATTGACTAGTGAGGTGTTTTATCGATATCATGTTCTGTGTAACGAGGTTGCAATCTTAGTTTCTACAAGTACACAGGTTTTTAATTTGTGTCGCAAAAAAAAAGAAAAAAAACGGTGAATGTGACATTTTCTTGAATCGGCTGCTCCGAAACATGAAGCAAATGCATTCTGATGTAAGCATTTGCTTGCTTAGGCTTTAAGGCATAAAAATGATCAAACTTCGAACAGTTCTAACCATTAGCAGCGGTAGATAGGATTTTGTATGTATCAAGTCAAAAGATACGCAGAAAAATTGAGCTAGTGATTATTTCTCCAATGAGATTAAAGTCGTAAATTCTGAGTTTACTAGCACCTCAAGATTCTTCCAACAAGTAACATTCATGTTCATTTGCAGCATATCTTGTTAAATTTGTTGTTTGATTGAGTGAGTAAGTGAGTTGATTCACTCTACATATGGAATCAGCAAAAGATGAAATATGCAAACTTTGAGAATAGCTCATTCTGTATCTGTCTCTCATTCCCGTACTTGTCTAATTTGTGTAACTCTGCATTACTCGTATTTTAAATAACTTGTGCGGGTTAATAAAAGTTGAGGTCCATCTGCAACATGATGCTCGATTTAGTCCAAGTACTGGTACAACACAAAATGACATATACCAAGACTTAAACATTGGTTGGAATCATTGTTTGAGGAATTTGCTTCAACTCGTGTGACGTTATTTTGTTTCGTTATAGTTTTAAAAAAGAATTGCTTAACTTGCTCAAGTTGCACACTCTTGCTAAATCTCCTCTCTGTCGTTTCCTCTTTTTTTTTTTTTCCTTTTTTGGAGTTAGAGTGAAACGGAGTTGCATAATATTGTCTGTGTTTTAACTTTTAACTTATATTATTGTGCCATTTATTCTGTGCGTGTATGGGTAAATTTTATTTCCATAGTTTATGTGAATCACACAATTTATCGCCTACGTTTCAGAAGTTTGGTGCTAAGGTTCTATCTGAAAGCAACTTATATAAAACTCATATGTTCTTTATATTTGTCTCAGCTACTTTTGCATCAACAGCAATCATAGAGCATCTGGGCTATAATTTATATGCAGATCCCGTTTGGTGATGTAACACAACACGAGACGTTCGAAGAGCAAAGAAGACTATTATGGGCTTTTTGGTGATGCAGAGAATTTTGCAGAATCTGCTTTTTTACATATTCAATAATTAATGTAGAGTCGCATTCGACCTGTAAAAACTCGGTACATGAACTGCTTCATGTAACATATATCAGCTCTTTTCGGTACATGAACTGCTTCGTCGGGTTATTTTATTTGTTTGTTTTTATTTTTATTTTTATTTTGTAGTGCAAGAGCATCTTGATAGCATTGTGAGTTTATCATATGCAAATGCAATACAAGAAGCTTCCAATTTGTGCCAACTTTTTTTTCTTTTTTTGCAATTTCATGTGTAGCGTTGGAAATTAGACCGGTCGGAATGGAATTAGTACTTTCGAGGATCTTTTCCTTTTTTCCAAGTGAAAACTAATTTCAATTTAATTTCGAAAAAAGTTGCAAAATTGAAAATCGAAATTTCAGAAATTGAAATGCAAAAAGTGTTTCAAAATTGGAAACTCTTAGATCGAAACTGGCGAATTCGGATTTTTTTATTGATATTACGTGTAATTTTGGGGGAGAATTTGGAATTTTCAAGCATAAATTTAAAATTTAAAATCAAGTTGGAATTCAGAATCTCATACGAATTTCAACTCCGCTCCAAAAAAACATCATAAATTTGAACTTTCGGAATTAAAAATGAATAGTATTATTTCGAAATCGAAATCTTATGATTAGCGGTATTTGGAAATTTCGTTCCAATTTCCATTCGTTAAGGGAGGTGATATTCGCGGTAGCAAAATTACGAATGTCGTTTTAAAAAATCCACTCTCTATCTTTCTTTCTCTCTCTACAATTTTAGCTTTTATATTAGAAATCATTCCAAAACTCATGTTATTGTAGCCATTTGCAAAAAAAAATGAGTGCATCGAATGAGGATCGAGATACGGAATCCAATGAGGTAAAATTTGTTCGTTTTTGTTCTTTAAATCGCGAACCCGGGTTGTTGCAATATAAACGCCTGCTTGCCTAACCAAGTAGGCTACTGCCGCTTTGATTAAAAATTCTTATTTAAATATTTTTATTTATTTCATTATACTGGCAAAAAATTAATAAATACGCGTTGCATCAAGGACTCGAACACGGGCCTATTGTTTGTTAGACAAAAGGCCTAACCAACTAGACTACAGCATGTTTATAAATTTATACTTATTTAAATATAATTATTCACTTCAATTATACTGGGCTAAAAAAAAAAATTGAACCGGACGACCGGTCCAGAACCAACGTCTGGACCGGACGCCCGAATTAATTTTCCACGCCCAAAATGGGCGTGAGAAAGCTGTTTCCACGCCTAAATCAGGCGTGGAAACTGCTTTCCCACACCCATTTTGGGCGTGGAAAATTCGAAAATCCAACACTAAAAATAGCCATAAATCGCGATTTGCAGGGGATTTTCACATGATTAACCACAAATTCAATATATATAACTATTTTAGATGATTAATTACCTTTCAAATTGAAGAAATTTTCTGATTTTGGAGGATTTGTGAGAGAGGTTGAGGGTTTTTGTGAATTTTGGGGCTTTTGGGGATTTTGGGGTTTTGGTGGAATTGAGGATTTTTAGAGAGAGAAAGAAAAGACTATTGTGAACGACATTCGTAATTTTGCTGCCGCGTAAATCATTTCAGATTCGTTAATCATGTGAATAAATTTTTGGGTAAATTCCACTTTCCTTCTTGTACTTTGGCTCGATATCACTTTACCCCCTTCTATTCTCAATTGCATGGATTTGCCCCCTTGTACTCTGGCTCGATATCACTTTACTTCCTTTTACTCTCAATTGTATCGATTTGTCCCCTTGTACTTTGGCTCGATATCACTTTACCCCCTTCTACTCTCAATTGTATCGAATTCCCCCATGTACTTGAAACATTGTCTCAATATGGCCATCGACGTTAGTTTTCACACATTTGACCTTAACACTGTTTGATCTAAGTCTGAAAATTACTAAAAAGTCACCCCTCTCAGTTTAAATAATTATTAAAAAAAATAAAAATAAAATAAAAAAAACAAAAAAAAAATAATAAAAATTCAAGACAACGTGAAAACATACTCCACGACACCAGCGATATTTTATTTTTTGAATTTTTTTTTTACTTTTTTTTTAATAATTTTAAACTAGGTGGGGTGGCTTTTTTGTAATTTTCAAACTTATATCAAACGGTGTAAATGTCAAATGTGTGAAAACTAATGGCGATGGCCACATTGACCGAGTTTTTCAAGTATAAGGGGTCAATTTGATGCAATTGAGAGTTCAATGGGGTAAAGTGATATCGAGCCAAAGTATAAGGGAGAAAATCGATGCAATTGAGAGTAGAAGGGGGTAAAGTGACACCAAATCAAAGTACAAGAGGGCAAATCAATGCAATTAAGAGTAGAATATACTAAAGTGATATCGAGCTAAAGTACAAGTGGGGAAAGTGGAATTTACCATAAATTTTTTCACGTATATTTATTTATTTATTTATTTAATTTATATAAATACTCCATTCCTTAATTGGAGATCAAGCAATCGACCCTTTATTCTCTTACTTCATTCTAGATTTGTACATTTTGCACAAGCAGAGGGCGAAACGACGTCATTTAGCATCTAGCCACCTCCAATTGCGGGCTGTATTTATATAACCGAAAATTGAAATGGAAGCGAAGCTGAAACTCTAAAGTAGCCGATGATTGATGGCGGCGGAGTGGCAGTGGGAGAACGCGGCCGCCGGTTCTGCCGCCGGCCTCGCCACCGTATCCTTCACTCACCCCCTCGATGTCATTCGCACCCGATTCCAAGGTTATTTATCTCTCTACGTACCTTTTAATTTTAAATTATGTTGGTCGAAAACTGAAATTTATTTCATAAGTTTTAATCGAGCATTGATTTTAGAGATTTTTTCTTCTGTTGAGCAGTGAACGATGGCCGATTGTCGAACCTACCAACGTATAAGAACACTCCCCACGCTCTCTTCACCATTGCTCGCACTGAGGTTGTTGTTTCTCGATGAGTAGATTTTCCGTATTCGAGATTCATTATGACATTATTTTTTGGTTTTCCTGTGATTTTTTGTTTTGGATGAGTTTGATTAAATATTCTTTTTTGGAGGAAGATTTTAATTAAAAAAAAAGTTGCTTCGTTTTACCATCGTATGCAGCACTTGACAATTATCGCATCAGAAGTATATTATACACAGTGGAAGACAATGTAGAAGGGGTTAAGCATAGCTTGTGGAACTTGGAAACAATAAGTCGAAGTTTTAATTCAGTTGACATTCATAAACACAATCTATGAGCTGCGTTCGAAAGTATTACGTGTACTTCAGTTTTTTTATTTTGGTGTCTTTCTGAGTCCAAATGGCATATTATTAATCAATCCTTCTAATTGGGAATGCATTAAGTGGGATAAAAAACTATCCTCTTCTGGCCTAATTATTTCTGATACGAAGATGTAGAGTGCATCACAAACTGCTTCGTATTAAAGAGACAAATAGTCATGGTTGCTTACTATCTATTTATGATAAATCAAAAGACTGGAAAATAAGCAGAACCTTGTTCAGATTTCAGCTGCCAACTTGGGTAATTCAGCATCTATAAGAACAACTAGGACTCGAATCTTGGATATCATTCTTCTCATTTTAACACACTCTATTTGTTTAAATCCTGGTGGCATTGTGGCTAGCACTGCTTTGAAGAAAACAGTTACTCTGTCAAGTCATCTGAGTCAGCTGTAACTATAGATAATGGTCATAGTGCATGATTCTCGTTTACTTCAATTTGCCAGTTTAATTAGTCATATCATTCCAAAGATAATTTTTTTTCATGTTTTGAATAATCACATTGCATATTTCGCTCTTCAGGGTTTTAGAGGGCTATATGCTGGCTTTTACCCTGCTGTTCTTGGATCAACTATTTCATGGGGTTTATATTTCTACTTGTAAGCATCACTATCGGAGTTATGTTATTATTGGTTTTTCAGTATGCTATTAATCTTAGAATTTGAAGGCTTCCAGTAGTTTGTACTTGGAGTTCCCACCAGTTAGGCGAATTAATGTGGTGCTATTTGAGAAAGCATGTCTACATGATTTGATTAATAACCATGGTTGTCTTACACTTTTGCAGCTACAGCAAAGCCAAACAGAGATATTTGAGAAGCAGAGAGGAACTGAGCCCTGTTCTTCATCTTGCATCAGCCGCTGAAGCTGGAGGCCTGGTCAGTATTTGAACTTCTTATCCTTGAAATGTGTTGCACATTGGTGATGTATCTATATGTATATACATTTCTGTCAGCATACCATTTACAAGACCTGCAGTGACCTGGTCTTGAAGATGCTTGACTTCCACCGATTGTTTGCCAGTTACTAGTGAAAAGATGTTTGACAAGTATTCTCATGTATTAGTTGTTGGTTAGCATTGCTGTTATTGAATAACATAATTATAGTATGTAGTTGTATTAACACTACTGTAAATTGGCTGAAATTTACTTGAACCCCTTGATCACTGAAAAAGAGTTTTCAAATAGTCAAATGAATGCCAGTGACTAGAATCTGTCAATAATGGTAAAAGATCTATTTGCACAAGGAACATATATGCTGTGATGGCTTAATATCCGAAGTATTATAACTTCAAAATTGTAAGAGCAATATAAAATGAATCAACAGGTTTATGGGTGAAGTGCGAAGCATGCTCCAACTAATTCCTTTAATGCAGTTACTGTTTCATTTATTGTGTAGCTTCATCTGCATGTATAACTCCAAGGAAACTGTACCCATGATACCTAAACTTTGTGATTTCTGCCTTGTTTATAAGAGTATATTTTTGGCTCTTTTAGGTCTGTTTTTGCACCAATCCTGTTTGGCTGGTGAAAACAAGGTTGCAGCTTCAGACTCCACAGCAAGTTCGTCCGTATTCCGGTTTTCACGGTTAGCTCTGATCTGATACTGATTTTCTATGATGTGCTTTACTTTACACCACTGTAATTGCTGTTGGTGATCCTTATTACGATGGAAAGATTGCACTCAGTTTTCAGGAAAAATGATGCTAATTTTTCTTTTTCTTGAAATATTTTGCTTGAAGTTATTTTTTGTTGGAAATGATTATTTGAGATTTTGTAAGTACCGTAGTCAAGTGTGGGTTGATATGGATTTTTAAATTTCCTATGAGTTAAAAAAGATTAGGTATTGATTCTTTTTTTCAATGGAGGTCCTATATTGGTGTAAAATATGCATATATTGAGTCATTTGTATTTGTCCCAATGCTCTCCAATACTACGCCATAGAGAAGAAGAAATTCATGTAAAAATATAATTTATTGAAAAGTAGCAGTACACAGAAAATGAAAAATCAGAAAGTGCAGCAGCCTCCAATCGACAAAAGAGATGGAACTTCACAATTGATTCATGGTTCTACCTGGGCAGCCAACAATGATCTTGGAATGAAAAACTAGAGCATAGATTTGATTCTCGGTTTTAGAACTTTTTCAATGTAGAAAAACCATATCGTTGATGTAAGTAATTACATCTAGTTGAACTGTAAATATTTGAAAGGATTTGAGAATGCATGTTGAAATATTATTTTCGCATCTTTTCTACACTTCTATTCATGTCAAGTGTTCCTTCAAATTGGATTAGTGCAACTAAGTGGATTGTTATCTTTTTTCTGAATAATCCACTTGCCGATGCTGTGTATACAAAATTAGACAATTCACACCTCATTTGTTTCAGGACTTGTGTCTCTCCTGACAAGCATCCTTGTTTCTCGTTCCCCTTTTCTGTAACAAAATAAGTTTTATGGTTCGTTGTCCCGAAGTTGTATTTAACTCTTCCCATCTTCTGGATTTCAGATGCTTTAAGAACCATTCTGAAAGAAGAAGGATGGAGGGCACTCTACAAAGGACTCGTGCCTGGTCTTTTTCTGGTTATTCTTCCCCCCCTTATTGCTATATTTTCAGTGCTTTGTTGTAATTTTTTATCATTTATTCTCTACTGCTGTGTGTAGTGTTCATCATCAAATATTATTTATGCTTGTTGACCTGCTTATGCACAAATTTCTATTAGAGTGAAGGAACTTACTGGTTTTGGTGCTGTTTCAGCAGGTTACACACGGTGCCATTCAGTTTACAGCCTACGAGGAACTACGTAAAATGGTTATCAAATTTAGGACTGAAGAAAGTGCCGAAAACCCTAATGTTGCTGAAAATTTATTGGTTAGTTTCTGAAACCAGTGATCATTTTGTTAGTTCTCAGGAACATCCTGTTTAAAACATACACATTCATGCATCAGCTGACAATTGTTCACTCCCGTTATCCTATGTCCCAGATAGACAATAGAAAACTGGTAACATATTCAATTGTTGGTGTACAAGATCATTTAGATTTATAGTTCAATTTGCAAATTTTCTTCATTTCTTGTCACAATTGATGACTGTGCATTTATATATTTCTCAAAATGTTAGTTTCGGGTTGGAATTGGCTTGTAAGATATTTATTATCTGGATTGTGTCTACAGGACTCATTTGATTATGCAGTATTGGGTGCTTCTTCAAAATTAGCTGCCGTGGCTTTGACTTATCCATTTCAGGTAGGCACCATTTAAAGATTTATACTTTGTAGTAGTAACCCTCTTTCGTATGCATTTATGACATTTTCGTCTCTTTTTGCTTGCTGAATGTGTGTTGGATGATGATGTCTTACAGGTTATTCGAGCTAGATTGCAGGTAAAGAGATAAACCACCCCACACTTACTTTCCATCCATATAAACACATCTTGTTCGAGTTTTGCTTTAAACAGGACCAGAAAACTAATAGTGTCTAGAAAGAGAGAAGAAAAAAAATGAAAAAATAAAATAAAATAAAACCTAACAGTTTCGAAGGGGGCAGTAGCTAAGTATTCTGGTTTCTACTGCAGCAACGTCCAAACATTGAGGGCATTCCCAGGTACGTGGATAGCTGGCATGTTATGAAAGAAACGGCACGGTGAGTGCTATCTGCTGACGCATTGGCTATATAGTTAGTATTTTGGTTGTGTTATTTATTTAAATTTTTTTATCTGAAGTGTTGCAAAATGTCACACTTTAATGAGCTTTCGTCCTCTTTTGTCACAGCTTCGAGGGTCTACGAGGTTTCTACAAGGGTATAACTGCAAACGTGCTGAAAAATGCTCCTGCTGCTTCAGTTACATTCATTGTGTATGAAAATGTGCTGAATATGTTGAAATTGGCTAGGAAGAAAGATTCATAATCATATCGATTCGTTGTTTATTATTTGTTTATTTATTTGACTTGGGCTTTAATTTGCCCTAGCAATTATTTTCGGTGTCAATTGTTTTTCATATTTTTTTTCGGCTAGTGCAGAGTGAACATTATGTGCCACTGTAGAAAATCGCAAACATACGACACATTATGATGCAGTTAGTTGCAAATTACTGAAAATGGAAGGCAAAACACAGGTGGTTTTGCAAAATATAATAAAACTTGGAATTGTTGTCAGCTGTCTTCAGCTTCTGTGTACTTGACAGAAGATGTACAACGTTCTTTTTTATCCGAAAAAAGTGAAACATGATTATCATTACATATACCTGAACACATACACATTAGCTCGGCAATTTTATTACATGCTCACTCGACAACATTACCTCTTATTCAGTCACAAGTTTAGTGATTATAAACAGCTCTAACTTGCCCATCGAAAGAAGTCGGTGAATTATTTAACGATGATACCATTTGGATCAAGCTTCCTTCTTTGGTTAGTTCACTCCACTTTGTGAAATCGAAGTTGGAAGAACTTTATATGGGTTGAGTATTCCATTAGGATCAAGTAGCTTCTTCATGGCACCCATTAGTTGCACCTGCAGACGAAAAAAATTGATTTAAATAGCCAACGAGCATACAAATTTATTTAATTAGCCATGAGTACAGATGAGGATAGACTTACAGTTTCAGCAGACTTGCTGTAATGAATTTTGTTTGCTTTCATCAATCCAAGACCATGCTCAGCACTAATGCTACCTCTTTGCTTAGATGTCCACTCGTACACAAAAGGTTCAATCTGTGATAATATCTGAAACGAATATTTTCGTTTAAAAATCAGTCCAGTGTTAGAAAGAAAGTTCACAAAATGGAAAAAAAGGAATAAGGTTGTTACACTATCATCGTATTCTCGTGCTGAGATATTGAGATGCAAATTGCCATCTCCAAGGTGACCATAAGCCACTACATTTGCCGCAGTGCCTAGAAATTTTTAATTGAAGGATTAAATTCTGCTCAAAGATAGTCCTCGGAAAATGTAGCTGTCTAAATTAGAACCACGTTTTTTCATGGAATTTATTCATCAAAATGTTATATTAATTGTAGCAAGGATTACCAAGCCGTTCACGCATTTCGTCAACAACATCATACATCTTCTCTGGGGGAAGAGACAGGTCGTATTTATATACAGCCCCTGCTTTCATCAAAGCTTCAGGTATTCCCTGTAAACACACAAATGTAACATAGAAAGAGCGATCCATGTGATCAATAAAAACATGGTTACATTGCGCATTACGAATACTGACAGAAAGACACATACAAAGCCAGCCATTAATAAGTACCTCGCGTATTCGCCAAAATGATGATGCTTGATTTATATCTTGTGCTATAACTCCATCTGTTAACAATCCACTCTCCATAGACGAAAGGAGGAATGCTTCAAGCTTCTCTCTGGTGATGTAGGTCCAAACGGTAGAGATTGAAGAAAGAACAGTTCATAAAGCTTATTAGAACTCTCGATGCTCAATTACAATGGGATGCAAATAATGAAAAATATGAAGAAGGTTACTTGTCATGAGATTCCATGCTGCCCGTGGTCTCAATAACAATATAGAAGTTGTGCTTTGAAGAAGGTAATGGATCGCGAATGCCATCTAAATGTTTCAGAACCTGTCAGAAAAAGATCGACAATGTAAGCCGAGCATGATTATGAACTATAATTTTGTTCCAACGGAATAAATTTCCAAGACTCGTTGAATAAAGTCAAAAATACATCATGATAATACTATTCTATTTTGGGATAAGAATAACAATTATTTTCTCGTTTTTCATTAGATTTTGTATATGCAGAAAATGTAGCTTTTGCTAAATTAAAGTATTACTTTCCCGTAAACAAATATTACCAGATCCATAGCGCTGACATCCAAAAACTCAAATGCAGAAAGAATTTCTCCAAGCTTCCTCTTGGCTTCTGACAAGAGTTTCTAGAAAGAACAGTGAACTGCTTTATGAGTTAGATTCAGCAGTCAGCACGTGTCTTCACCACATGATCAATTAGATCAAATCATTAGACATGTGTGTTGGAGTATAAATGCATTCAGTAAATATAAAAAATGATGCCATAAACAACGATAATCCTCAAATATCAAGACATGGATGAACAGGTAGCCGAATGTAAGATTCTTAAATGGCAAAAGCCTTTAGTAAACCTACTCAGCAATAGACTCAAACTTTACCTGACAACTGACATAATCCTCGCAAGCAAGGAAAGCTAGGTTGACCGAAGACAACTTTGGAGGGGTTAGTATGGAAACCTTTGTTACTATTCCCAAAGACCCCTCGCTCCCTAAAAAAATACATAATGGCCGTAATTTAGCCAAGACCCTTTAGCAATATTAACATCATAGAAAGGAAGAAAAGAAAAAAACAATCAAAATGTGTAGATTTTATTCACCTATGAACAAATGCTTCAAGTCGTATCCTGTGTTGTCTTTGCGTAAAGTCCCAAGCATATCAAGCACAGTACCATTTGCTAATACAACTTCAAGACCTGGAATACCAGGCCAAAAATGTATGCTAGTGAAATAGAATAAATAGAAATAACAAGATTTTGGCAAGGGAAACTGTTAGGTTAGGAAAATTGTTTCAGAAAAAGGAAGGGAAACGCTTTTTCAGAGATTTTTCTATGAATATGATACCATGAAGAATCCCCGACAGGTGATGAAATACATTAATTTTTCAGACAACAAACTTCAACAGATGATTGTACAAAAAAGGATGGAAGATAGGAGGAAGATAGGTGGGAAAAATAAACAACTTACCAAGAACACTTCCATGAAGTGAGCCATATCGGATAAGGCGCAAACCTCCAGCATTAGTTGAGACATTACCCCCAATTTGGCAGCTTCCTTTAGCACCTAAATCCAGTGGCATAATATACCTGGAGATCAATAAATAGAATTCTGAAATTTTCATGATTTAAACAAGTTGCTGATCTCAAAAACAGGAATAACTGATCAAAGATGGATTACCCTTCATTATCCAGAAAAGTAATCAAGTTTTCCAGAATACATCCTGCTTCACATACCAGTATACCGCTAACCTATTAAAAAAATAAAAACGAAGTCAGCAATTCAGGTGCTAGTTATTGAGAACGACAAGGTCATTCTTGAACATTTTATAGTTCTTTTAGAGCGTATATCTGAAAGGGGAATGGCACAGGATCAAAATGATCCAGAAATAGAAGGGTTAAGAAGGCAAAATTCAAAGTTAAAAAATATATCATGAGTGAAAACAGGATCATAATAGATCATATGAAGTAAATAAGCTCAGCAGCGAAATTTTTGTTGGCTTATAATATCAGATGATTCAGGTAAGCATCATCAAAGAGAATACGGTGTAAATGTATCGGCAAATACGAATGCTTACCTTGTCAAAGGAAATGATGTTATTCATGGAGCTAACACTGATAATTACCTGTAAACAGATAGATATAGGAGGAGTTATACATTACTTTAAAACACGATGGCATGTATTCTAACTAACATGATGGTATCACTAGTGTTCTTATTGAAAAACTCACTCATGTAAAGAATGCATGTATTTCTTGTCTTTGGTATGTATTAGTTACAGTTAACTCTAAAAATTGTATATGTGCAAGTTTGACTATCAATGGGGTCAAACTGACATGAAGCTTGAAAGCAAGCACGATTACTCGAGCTTGAGCATAAGTAAAGGCAGGCTCGAGTTCAAGTAGAATTGGGATCTCATACATAATAAAAGTAATCATGATTTCATGTAGGTAATGACTGAAAATTTACTTATAATCAAGCTTCATTCTTGAATCACAGTGACATTGACGATAAATCTATGCTTTCAGGAAGAACAAACATAAATAATTTATGTCTTAACTAGATGAATTCAAGTTTGAACACCAATTAATATGTTACATTATAGCAGTTTGAATCTCCAGTTACATAAACCAAAAGGATTATTAATGTTTTTCTGCAGTAGATAAGATGACGAAAGGGTGAAACCTTACATTAAGATATACCGGCTACGGAAATCAAATAAAGACATCCAATATCTGATGGTTGAATGGACCTTTATCGGAAAAAGAAACTGATGTGATCATACCTCATCATGCACGGGTACACTTCCTCCAACAAGACCCGTATTTCCACCTTGGGGTACAACAGCCAGGCATCTGGAATTACAGTAATTAAGAATCTCTGAGACCTGTACTAGGAAAGAAGAAGAAGAATAAATATAGCAGCATTATATCTAAATAAAGAAAATAAAGGAAAATAAGTTGAGGAGTTCAAATAAGACACCAACCTCATGGGTGCTTCTTGGTTGTAACATAAGCTTACTTGAGCCTTTGTACTTCCTCATCCAATCCGTGTTTGCATCATCCAGCTTCAACTCCTCCTGAACAACACCCTTTTCACCCAATATCTTCTTGAAATAGCTTATATCATCACAACTAATCATAGCAAAAGATGGGTTTCTCGAAGGAACGGTGGCCACTGAAGCAAGATTTCTAGAATGAATTCGAAAAGCATTACTCTGAACTCCCCGTAAAGAAGCAGGAATACCAATACCAGAACCTTTTAAGAAGCAAATATGCCTTGAAACAATGTGTTTGTGATAGCAAACATCTTCTTTGACCAGCTCAAAAGTTTGAATGGAGCGACTCTGAAGACCTGCTGCGATTGGAGAAGAAAACCGGTAAACAGTAGAAGAAATTAGATCATAAAAGTTTTTCGAATTCAATGTAATTCCATATTTCAATTTGCTCAAACATAGTGCACCAAGAGACCAACTGATTAACCAACGATCTCACACGAGGAAAACCACCCCCTGCACTAGCCCACCTACATGTATGACAATTTAGTACATGATGGCAAATGTTCGATTTTACTAATCTCTTTCTCTATCCAAATTAATTTCATTCCTTGTTTCTACCAACATCAATCTTTATCCTCTCACCCCAAAACATGTTAATGCAAGAGCATCTCCGCATATATTAAAATTGTTTTTCTATACTCAACATGATTTTTTTCGGAATAATTACACCAAATTGAGGAAAATTTTGCTCAAGGCAAAGCTAACTAAACAAAATCACACACACACACACAAATACACACACACTGATACACACACACTGATACACACACAAAGCTTGCTACGTCTGACAACTCCAAATACTGTGGTACAACAGTAAGAATTAAAGTTCATCTACTCATTCTACATATTTTCATATCAGAAATTGGAGAAATTGGTAGCAAATTTTACATACAGTCGCAAAATACGAATAAAATCACGGCGAATTGCAGGCACCTGAAATGGAGGAACGAGATGAATTGAAGAATTTAAGGTTCGAGAGTTGATCAACGAGGTTTCTCGACGAGTGCTTGAGACGGCGGTAAGTCATCGTCTTCGTCAGAAAAATGTGATTATGGTTGATTCATCAGACGCTCTCCGACTCGGATTCCGCCGGAATTTGGCAATCTAACTATGGACCACCGGCGAATGTATCGTTTACCATTTTGCCCTCTATGTCACTTTTTAATTTTGAGTAAATTACACTTTTCCCATTGTACTTTGGCTCGATATCACCTCACCCCATTCTACTCTCAATTGCATTGATTTGCCCCTTGTACTTTGGCTCAATATCACTTTACCCCTTTTGCATCGACTTGCCCACATGTACTTGAAAAATTGTCTCAATGTGGCCATCGCCGTTAGTTTTCACACCTTTGACTTCAACACCGTTTAATCTAAGTTTGAGAATTACAAAAAATCCACCCCTCCCAGTTTAAATAACTATTAAGAAAATAAACAATAAATTGTGGCTCGTGTCGTGATCTATGTTTTCTCATTGTCTTGAATTTTTTATTATTTTATTTTTTGTTTATTTATTTATTTATTTTTTTTTAATTTTTTTTAATAATTATTTAAACTGAAAGGGGTGACTTTTTAGTAATTTTCTGACTTAGATCAAACGTTGTTAATGTCAAATGTGTGAAAACTAACGACGAGGGAAGTATGGGGGGCAAATCGATGCAATTGAGAGTAGAAGAGGGTAAAGTAATATCGAGCCAAAGTACAAGTGGGCAAATCGATGCAATTGAGAGTATAAAGAGTTAAAGTGATATCGAGCCCAAGTATAGGGTGGAAGTGGAATTGAATTTACGCTTTAATTTTTATCAAGAAATGAAATATTTTGATGGCATTAGCCAGGCCCGGGACTTGGTGGGGTCGATCGATACCGACCTAAAAAATGACCCTTCTAATAGAACCAATTTGAAACCCAACCCCCCCCCCCCCCCCCCCCCCCCCCCCCCCCCCTCTCCCAACTATAAATTTTCTCACACGTTCACCTTATGGTGGCAAATTCAACAAAATATTCTAGATTTCTTAGAATGTTCTCTAGTTTGCACTTATTTTGTGCAAAAATGCAGTTTCTGATGCATCATAATGTGATAATTACAAGGCAAGAGACACATTTAATGATCATCTCGTTTCAAAATGTGGAGCTCGAATGAGATAAAAAAACGGGTACAAAGTAGAGAATATTCCACATAATATAAGAGATTTCACTGAATTTGACACCACAAGAGTGGACTTATAAAAAGATTCATAGTTTAGGGGTGATTGTAATTATGCAAATATGAGATACTTTTTGTTTTCGTAATATGACTGTACCGGAGGGAGCGACCGTAATTTACACTAATTATTAACATAAATGAATTCGTTTGAGATGGGCTTCCATTAATAATAAATAGGCCCAAGGCCCAATCCAAACCTCTCCCCATAGCAGAAACCCCCTATCCAATTTTCACAGCACTCACACATTTCATCTCTCATGGCGTCTCCCTCTCTTACTTCTCTCTCTTCGGTTCTGAATCAACAACACTGTATAAACCTCCCCAGACGTTGCTCCATTCTCACTCTCAGATTCTTCTCCTCGAATCCATGCCATTTTTCTCCGGCGATTTCCGCCGCCCGCATCGTCTGTAGCCGGCGTTCATTCGGGCGGAGCTCCGCCTCAGCTTTCTCACACAGATTTTCCAGAAGCTTCTCGCAGTCTCAATGTCAACCTCCGATTTCCATAGGCGGCAAGTTATCGGAAATTCCAGCTCTCCACCATTTCATGCCCAAAGCAAGTGCCGCTGTCACAGATGCTGCTGTTTCCGATCTCCATCTCGAGTAAGTGTGCGGCGTCTGTGCGTTTTTAGATTTTCTTTTTTTAGATTTTTTCTTAGATTTTTTTTCGTGGAGTTTAGATAAATGCGCTTGAAGTTATGAGCATAGGAGGTTTAATTGAATTTTGAAATATAGCGAGAGTGATGATGCTATTTAATGAAGAGTGCGAACATGCTAATTGGTAATTGAGTGTTATACAGTAACGAGGTTTGGTCCGCGTTGAGTGACCCCGGTGAATAGATAGATACACATGTATATACAGTTTTGTGTATGTGTAACAGTAAGTTATAACTCATAACCATGTTCTTGATTGTTGTGTGTGCAGAATGCTGTTAGAAAAATTATTTCTAGATTTGAATTTTTTGTACCTTCATTAGAATTATGCTTTTAGAGATCAATAAACTCACAAGAAACAAAACAAAGAATTAGAGAAATTGCAAAAGACGGGTTGTGGAGCAGGACAAAAATGGGAAAAAGGATGTAACTCAATTAATGATCACTAAGAAAAGACGATTCTCATGGTTTATTTAAATCTCGTGTACAATTAGTGTTGTTGACTGCTCATGAACCCATCTGATGCGCCACTTCATCTGTTTGTTCCACTTACTTTGTAGTCTTTCTTTAGTCATCTGGTATCGCAACAAACACGGAAAACTGCAAGAACTTATTCGTTTGTTTGTCTTAATTTCTCTAGCTCGATAGCACTGTCTGATGTTCTTCCAAGTGGTCGGATATACCATGAAACTTATGGATGCCAAATGAATGTTAATGACATGGAGATTGTCCTATCTATCATGAAGAAAGCTGGATATAGTGAAATCGTGGAAGCTCCCGAGAGTGCAGAGATTATATTTATAAACACATGTGCGATCAGAGACAATGCAGAACAAAAGGTGTGGCAGAGACTTAATTATTTTTGGTTTCTGAAAAGGCAGTGGAAGAAAAATGTTGCTATAGGAAGGTCTCAGTCCTTGCATCCTCCGAAAGTCGTTGTACTGGGGTGTATGGCTGAGAGGCTGAAGGATAAAATATTGGACGCAGATAAGATGGTTGATGTTGTTTGTGGGCCCGATGCTTATCGAGACTTGCCGAGGCTGTTAGAAGAAGTAGACTCGGGCCAGAAAGGGATCAACACACTTCTTTCACTTGAAGAAACTTATGCTGATATCAATCCAGTGCGTATCGCAAAGAATTCAATAAGTGCGTTTGTCTCTATAATGAGGGGTTGCAATAACATGTGCTCGTTTTGCATTGTTCCTTTCACAAGAGGCCGAGAGCGATCTCGTCCGGTCGAGTCCGTTGTTAGAGAGGTGGGAGAGCTTTGGAAGGAAGGTGTCAAAGAAGTAACTCTTCTTGGGCAAAATGTGAACAGTTATAACGACACTTCTGGTGTTGAAGAGGTTGAATCTGGAACAAACTGGAAGTATAGTGATGGATTTAACAGCATTGCCAAAGTAAAAAATGTGGGTTTGCGCTTTGCTGACCTACTCGACAGACTTGCAGTTGAATACCCAGAGATGCGATTCAGATACACTTCACCTCACCCAAAAGATTTTCCTGATGACTTGTTGTATGTCATGCGAAATAGAAATAATATATGCAAAAGCATCCATTTGCCTGCACAATCAGGCAGCAGTTCAGTACTGGAAAGGATGCGGAGGGGATATACCGGAGAAGCATACTTGGAACTTGTTAAAAAGATACGCGATATAATTCCTGAGATCGGGATAAGCAGTGATTTCATATGTGGTAAGTTTGTTTGTGATTTCTTTTGTTTTATAAATTGTTAGTCTATATTGGATTCTTGAACTGTTTTCGTTATTAAACTAGGTAAAACCTGATTTTCATTTGGTCAATGGGAGCTAGATAAATCTTTTTCGTGAATGAGAATATTCTAAAAAAACAACACTATGTATGAGAATTATCAATTGCTTATCTAGACCATGTTGTCCTAAGCACTCATTTTAGCTTACATCTCTGATTAATGGCATCAATCTGTGCAACATAATTATAATCTTCATGCACCTAATTAAGTTTGAGCTTTGGAATACACCGTTATTATCTGATTGCCACGCTACTGAAATATAGTATCAACTACGAGAAAATCTTTCTAATGAGTGAAGATTTCTTGATATAATAATGTAATTTTTCAATTTTTAGCTAAACCAAATGGTCTCGTGTTCAATCGCCATATTATCCTGGTAATAAGTGACGAAATAATATGCTTATTTAGCTTCTTTTTTTTCTTTTTCTTTTTAATCTTACAGGTTTCTGTGGGGAAACGGAGGAGGACCACCAGGACACTCTAAACCTAGTAAAAACTGTTGGCTACGATATGGCATATATGTTTGCTTACAGCATGAGAGAGAAAACCCATGCCCACAGAAACTATGCCGATGATGTTCCTGAAAATGTAAAGCAAAGAAGATTAACAGAACTTATTGAAACTTTCCGTGACAGCACAGGCCAATGTTATGACTCCAAAATCGGCTCAGTCCAACTTGTATTAGTCGAAGGGCCCAATAGAAGGGCACCCGAAACAGAGCTAATCGGAAAGAGTGATAGAGGCCACAGAGTATCGTTTACTAATACTCCAATTCCAGATAGAGACAACAATGATGTTAGACGGAGTCCAAAAGTCGGTGATTTTGTCGAAGTTAATGTACTGAAATCCACTAGGGCATCTCTTCATGGAGAAGCAGTTGCTATCACAAAATTGAGCTCGTTTTATGCTGATATGCATGAAGAAAGTCTTGCTTGTGTTAATACAGCTTAGAACTTATTATGTCAAGAATTTTGGCTACATTTAATTTTTTTTTGTTCTTCGAGAAAGCGCAAGTCCGATTTGCTTGGTTTTATGGGATTTCTTGGCCCGTTTGGTGCATCGTGACATTCATCATGGAAAACCGGAGGTTGGATTTCGCAGGTAATAATTACAATCCAGCTACATATGTTTATTTTGTTTAGCAGTTTATTTGTAACTTAATTAATATTGATATGTTTTGGGCAGCTGAGTCTATATATTATGGACTGTGTAGATATTCCCTACATATATATATATATATATATATATATATATATATATATATATATATATATATATATATATATATATGTGTGTGTGTGTGTGTGTGGAGTTGAATTTAATAAAAGGTAATTTACATGTAGAGAATAAAGTAGATTTGGATTTGATGAGAAATGAAAAAGGTAAGCCTTTTTATAGCTGAAGAAAACAGGGTAAAGTGAGAGACTGAAGAGTCAAATGGGCGCTGTGCGCCCTATTAATAGCCTCATGCTCATTGCTTTTAACCTAACATTTAATTTATTTACATCTCATTAAATATTTTGAATTCACCTTTTTTATATCTAATAATAATAATTAATTACAAAGTATAATATTTTTATTTTATATAATACCCATACATAAAATATTACATGAATACTGGTTCTGGTTAAATACCTTATTCTTTAAAAACTAGATTATCTTTTTTTCTTTATAAATTATGTGCCCACTACACCATACATTAAATATAACATGAATGATTGTTATGATTAATATGTATGTATATATTGTTTACAAGGTAGAATATTCTTTTTTTAAATAATACCCACTACACTAAACATTAAATATAAGATGAGTGTAATGTAATCATGAGTTAAGATAATTAATTAAGTATAGCTCCCATCTTCATATATGCAATGCTAGATGGTGTTTTAATATTGCATTTCATATCTTTGTCTAAAGGGAGAAAGATACCCGTAATTTTTTATTTTTTTTTGTGTATTTTATATGATTATTCGGAAAATATTAGATACATTATTTATTATTATCAATTGTGGATGCAATATTATGTGTATGATTATTATGTATTTGACTAATTAATCTTTACCATATATTTTCTAAAATCAAATCATACCAATATATTTAATAAATTTAACGTTATCATATGAAATAAAGAGACCTTAAATAGATCTGGAATTATAATTGTTGATCACGATGGCACATGACACCACTTGATTACCTCACGTGATTTCATATTAATTAAACTTTTTATTTACAAAATGGAGCTAAAAAGTTTAATTTTATTGACGGTCTGAAAACTTTGGTATAATAGCTTGCAAAGCATACGAGAGATATAAATCACATTAGGTTAACTATGTGTAACAAAATCGACCTAATTTTTGACAATTTGGATTCGAGCCTGTCAATTTTCGCAACAATATTTATTTATATATTATTGTATGTACATGTAATATGTCTGTAATAAAAAAACACACACACATAGTGCAAATATAAATCAGAGGCAGTTCTGAGATGTTGAGTGTTATGAGTGAAAGAAGAAGAAAAGACAAAATTTGATTTAATCGTGTGACAATTGTTGCACCCAATATAGCCCTCAGTTATGACCTGCTTTCCAAACCAATTAAAAGAAAAAAAAAAAAAAAAAAAAAAAGATTTATCGCCAAACATTTAGTTCACATTCGAAAAATAACAATTACCCGGTGCAAGTGCAAATTGGAACGCAAATTCCGAAAATGGTCATTTTCAAAAGAAAATTTCCGATTCGATTTTGGAACAATGTTTTTCATTTGTATCCAAATTTTATTTATGGGATTTGTTGGAGCATAATTGGAACATGTACATGAGATTCTGATTACTAATCCAATTTTAATTTTTGAAACTATACTACTACATTAATAAAATTTATAATTTCTACCGATTCTGATCTGAAAAAAATCCGATTTCCAAACAAAATTCTAACAATCTAATTCCCTAATAAATTTCGATATATTTTCCCCAAAAAACTCAATTAACTCTCCTTCACTCCATCCATTCTCATTTAAGTCTCTTACCAAAGACAAAACGAATGAATCCATCGAATACAATAGTCTCTCTCTCTCTCTCTCCTCTTTCTTTCTTTCTCTCACTAGGATAGAGATAGAGAGAGAGAGGACTGCATATATATTTATATAGAACTGCACGTGTGCAGTGTGTAGGTCTCAGACCCCATCATAGCTAGAGCCACCCCCAGTACTTCTTTTTTTTTTCTTTTTTTAATTTGAATTTAATCTCAAGAAAAGTTTGATCGATCAGAGTGATGGGCTACATCTTACCCCACAAAAAACATATACATATATAGTATCGTTTCTCTCAACTGATATTCAGCCCAGACTTCCCAGAAACAAAAAGAAAATCAAGAATGGGATGGTTGAGTTGTGCAGAGATTTGGGTTTTGATTGTAGTACTGTTGGTGTCGGGTTTGTGTGTGTATAAAAAAATATGGATGATGATGATGATGATGGTTAAAAGGGAAAAAGAAGAGAGAGAAGAGAGAGGAGAGAGAAAGAATGGAGGAGGAGGGGTTTTCAGTGTACCGAAGGGGAGCTGGGGTTGGCCTTTGATTGGTGAAACTTTGGAATTTATTGCTTCTGGTTACACCTCCAAACCTGTTTGCTTCATGGATAAGCGCAAATCTCTGTAAGAAAAATATAAATCAAGATTTCATTTTTTTTTTTTTTGTTTTCTGCAAGTAAGTAAGCACACACCCGTGCGTGTGTGTGTGTTTGTGTGTGAGTGTTTCTTCAGCTTTGAGCAACCATGCGTTTGTGTGTGTGTGTTCATTGTGAAGAGTTCACACACACACACACACGTGCGGGTGTGTGTTTATCTTCTGTGTTTCTGTGTGTATAACCATGTTTATATGTGTGAGTGTTCTTGGTGATGACCGATGAGTTCACACACTGACACACACACACACACATATTTATGTATTTGATATATATATGTATGTATATATCATAAGCTTCTCCATTTTCTTGGGATCATGAATGAAGTCTAGATTTTTTTAATAATAATAATACTTGTAAATTAGTGATGGTTGCCAGGTTTTTACTCAGTTCTTCAACCCCATCTTTATCATTTATTTATTTATTTATGTGATTTTTTGTTCTACTAAACCCATATTTTATGGTAGTTTTTTTTTTATTTTTCTCAAATAAAATTTATTATTTAATGGGAAATAGTTATTAGGGGCAGTATAGGTAGGTACAAGTCACATACATACATACATTTCTTGGCCAACATTGTAAATTTACACATCCCTCAATATCCATTTTAAACTAATTTCTTTAAATAAGAAAATATAATATAAAATTCATGATTTTGCTTACATTAAATCAAGTTACATAATCAGACAATAACATTTGTTAATATTGTTTGATTGTTTTAATGTGTGTGTGTAATAAAGGTATGGAGATGTCTTTCGAACACACATTCTCGGAAAAGCCATCATCGTCTCGACCGATCCCGATGTGAACAAAGTTATTCTACAAAACCACGGCAATGCTTTTATACCGTGTTATCCGAAATCCATCTCCGAATTATTAGGGAAATCCTCAATTTTGCAAATGAATGGTCCTATGCACAAAAAGATGCACACCCTTATCGGAGTTTTCCTCAAATCTCCACAATTTAAAGACCGAATTACCCTTGATATCGAGAAAGTCGTAAGGCTGTCACTATCTACTTGGATGGATAAGGGTTGCCAAGTTTTCGTTCAAGATGAAACCAAAAAGGTCCCTTTTTATTTTATTTATTTATGTTTATTATATTATATGTATATATTGTATTTACTCTATGTGTTAAAAAAACCTCCCGTGTTATAAATATTAGCAAGAACTTCCTACGATGCATTTTTTGAGGGGATAGTTCGGTAACAAAATTGAATCATAGGAGGGAGTTTTGCTAATATTTATACGAATCGAATTTGAGATGATATATATAAATATTATGGCAGATTACATTTGAAATTCTAGTGAGAGTGCTAATGAGCATTGGTCCGGGCGAAGAGATGAACGTACTAAAGAAAGAGTTTGAGGAATTTATCAAAGGCTTAATATGCTTGCCCGTTAAATTTCCCGGTACAAGACTCTACAAATCTTTGAAGGTATTTATTTATCTAATTATACAATTTAATTTGAACAATAAACGTCTTTTTTATAATCAATTTTAATCTTTTTCGATAGGCGAAGGAGAGAATGTTGAAAATGGTGGATAAAATTATATTGGAGAGAAAAATCGGCATGGATAATAACAAAACAGATAGTAAAGAAGAGTTGCCAAATGATGCAATTGATGTCCTATTGCGCGACGCGTCAGCGGAATATTCTGGAGATCAGCAAATGCGGGTCCCGCTCGATTTTGTCGCCGGAAATATAATAGAGATGATGATTCCGGGAGAAGAGACTGTGCCCACAGCCATGACCTTGGCTGTCAAATTTCTAAGTGACAGCCCTGTCGCGTTAGCGCATTTAGTGGTACGAAATGCTTAATCTTTGAATAAATTCCAAATATTTTATAATTATGATTCGTATATGTCATAATTACATAAAATGAGATTATTTCTTCGTAAAAACAAACGTGTTCACGTGGGATATAGCTATGTGTGTTGCCCACATGTTTTTTTTTTTTTTTTTCTGAATAATGGTGTGGTACCATATTTCACATTCATGCATATATCGCGAATATGGAATTCGTAAATTATTATTATTAACTACTCTTAATATTCTTGAATTTATTTTTTACCGAATATTATTAGATTAATCTTTTCTAGCAATCAATCTTAGGAAGAGAACATGGAACTTAGGAACAAGAAGGATCAATCCGGCGAAGAATATTCTTGGACCGATTATATGTCATTGCCATTCACACAAAATGTAAGTCGATCTCTTGCCGATTATCGATTAATCGGAAATAATAATTTAATTATATTCGATTTCTTGTAACGTAATTCTCTTGTGTAGGTTATTAGTGAAACACTTCGACTGGCTAATATCATTAACGCGGTGTGGAGAAAAGCTCTCAAGGATGTCAAAATAAAAGGTTTTCGAATTTTTCCAATTTTTTTTCGATTTTTAACCTTGTATGAATTTTTTGTTGACATTTACTTAATTTTCACTTTATTTTTTTTCAGGTTATTTAATACCGAAAGGATGGTGCGTTTTAGCTTCGTTCAGCTCGGTTCACATGGATGAAACGAATTACGAGAACCCTTATGAATTTGATCCATGGAGATGGAAGGTGAGATAGATCCCTATTCTTGATCTCTTATACTTAATTAATTAATTAATTAGTTAATATTAATATTGGGTGTTGATTAATTAAACCTTATGCACATGAGAGCCAGGGTTTTAAAATCTTTGTCACTCTGAATGAAATTAAAATATGTTAGCTTGTAAGAATACTTTATTTCTTGATGGGACAATTCATATAACAACTTGTTATTTGTCCTAATGTGTAACTACCCATAAATTATCATTTATTTATTTTTTAATTATTTATTTAATATATTTACAGAAAATAGGAGCTGCTGTGAGTAGCAATACTTTCACACCATTTGGTGGTGGACAAAGACTATGCCCCGGACTCGAACTCTCGAGGCTCGAAATCTCGATTTTCCTTCATTTTCTCGTTACAACATATCGGTAATAATAAGTACATTCTCATGGCATTCATTCAAGAATTGACATATGTTCTTATATATTATAAGTGATGAAATAAACGGTAGGTAAAACGAGCTTTCGATTGTCCTTTATTTTTTCTTTCTTTTGCAGATGGAACTCCGATAAAGACGAAATAATATACTTTCCGACGGTGAGAATGAAGAAGAAGCTTCCAATCACAATCATGCCCCTACACACACCAATGAATTAATTGCAAGCTAACAAAAGTTGGTTTCTATCATTAATTAATTTTCCTAGAAACATCCGTGTCGGTTTTCGTTAACAGTTTCGTCGAAATTGTCTCTTTTTTTTTTTTTTTTTTTTTTTTGTATAATATATAATTGAAATATTGATAATATGATATAGAAGAAGTTGAATTATGGAGTTGAGTATTAGTCCCACTGTCACTATCTCAAGTGTCTTCCTCATTGAAGAAGAAGAGGGGTCTTTCCATGGGCCGTGGTACTACATTTTAAATAGTGCAAGTTGAGATAATCATGATTATGGTTTATTTAATGCTACACGTGTATATATTCGATATATATATATGTGTGTGTGTGTGTACACCGACTTGAAAATGAAATCAAGCGATCCAATACTCGATTCGTGAATGTTCGTTGAAAGGTTGTTCGATGTCGGTTTGTTAAGATAATGAACTATTCTTGAACGTATAATACTCATTCGATAAGCTATTGAAGTTCGGCTTAAACTATGTAGCAATTCGAATGTTTACCAAATCAAGGTTCAAATGCAATTTAGAACTAATTTGCATTCGGTTCGAGTCGATTTGTTAATAGCTAGGGGCATGCCACTAGGTTTATTTAGTACATCTTTGCCTAATTTTATTTTAAACAACTAATAAATTATTACATTTGATAAGTTATTGTAAAAGCTGTTAAGTCGCTGCGTAGCTTTAGATTAATTTTTAAAGTATTTTTGGATACTGCTCTTGTACTTAAGCTACTTTTGCTCATTTGATCTTAAATAAGCACTTTAGAAGAGTTTATAAACTCATTTAAACAACTTATACGTTTAGCCAAACATCCTCTTAATATGTGTCGCATCTACAAAGCCATTAAAAGAGTTATTGGTTAATTAATTCATTTTATTCTTTTAACATAAATTTAAATTTGCAGAATTTTAGTTGGATAAGAATTAAAAGAAAAAAACATTATGGGGGGGTGATTGTTAACCACTAGTATATATATATAGGTATACAAGTGTGGTCCACTCCCATGCGGTACGTTTTTATCGCATCCTCGTCAATAATGCCCACACCTTATTTTATTTATTTATCTTTTTTTTATTATTATTATTTATTTATTTATGTTTTTTAAAATTATATCTATGGGTTACAATCTGATCCTGATTTTGTATGCACTCATAATATGTGCAATTGAATAATTTATCGCAGTCCCACTTGAGTAGATGTCACTAATATGTGTAATTAAATCCATTTGGTAGACTTGAATGTTGATTGATTATGAATATATTATTAATTAAGAATTAAATTCAATTTATTTAATAAAATAATCTAGTTTTGAAACTCCACATTGTATTAAAACCTAGTTCCTAATCCAAGAATTTGTTTTACACTAATTTGAAATCAACTCTAATATTCCATATCTCATACAATGGGCTCAGATTCGAGCTCGAGCCCAAAAAACAAAATACTCGAAGAGCTCGAGATCGTCAAAATGGATTCGAGCTCGAGTTTGAGCTCGCCAAAATAGCCAAGTTCGACTCGAGGTCACCTCGTTTACACCTGTACATATATCTCTCCTATCGAACGATGCATTCACATGGCCTATAATTATTATAATTACACCAAATAAAAACACAAACCCCATCCTCAAAACTCAATTTTCTTGTTCAAAGTTTATATTATGCCCTAATATAAACGAGTGTCCAAAAAAATTAATCATGCATGGCAATATTGTACCGTATAAAAGAACAAAAAAAGTGAGCTTGGCATTTTGTCGAACATGTCAGTGGTGGTGGGGGGCATTGATACTGATGCTCAGTATCTGACCAATCAAGACAACACATATAACTGTTGAAGCAATCATTCACTCGCCTATAAAATACCCACATTTTCTTGAAAAATAAAAATAAAAAATCAGAGTCAATTTTCTGTCCTGACAAAAAGGGTTAGTTTGCAAGAAGAATGTACTGTTTTCTTATTTGACTGTCTGAAAAATTGCAACCTTGATTTGAATAATCCAAAAGATCTAACAGTATGGGCCTGGGGAAAATTGAAGAAACGAAATCTTTTAAGAGAAGCCCAATTAGAAAAAAAAACAGTTCGAAAAACAAAACGAAAAATGCAGGTTATTTGAGTAGAATCGAAAAGGGGACAAACAGATAAATCAAGCCATAGTTGCGTTCTTCTTCTCCTCTTCAATCCGTTTCAGCTCGACGAGACGTTCTTGCCAGGCTCTCTCTCTTGCAACTGCAGCCATTTTGCGCTCCACCCTTTTCATTATCTTTTTTCTTTTCGCCTCTTGCAACTGGGCTTTGCGCTTCCTTTTCTCAGACTTTACCGAAAGGATAAAAATATCAGATTTTCATGCGTAAAGAAACGAAACTCTAATGAATAAAAAAAATCAAGGGTATTTAGCGGCTTAAATCATCGTTTCAGATAAGATAAAAATCAGTTAAACATAGGATATCTCAAGAGACTAAAAGTAATAATAAAGTTCTTTAACAATTACAGGCTGAAATGTTGAGAAATGGAAGGTAGTTTGGGCAACGTTATCGAGCAACTAACATAGTATAATCTGTCGGTGGCAAATTAACAATTACTGAAATATATGGATAAGCAATCTGCAGCAAAGCTCAATCAGTCACAAACCAAGGTTCGAGATTTTGCTAGTTTTTGGGAGCCTTCAAAGGGTGTTTTCAAAGCTTTAAATAATATTAGTCCGTTGTAATCATCATAAACCTATTAGAGTTGCCTTAGTTTAAGTTTAGTGAACTTATTCATACTAGCTTATAACTGGTATAGTTTTTATGCTTGTGTTGAGTTCTGGCTTGACCTCGAATGAGGTAAACGTGTGGCTTACAAAGTTTGCTCACAGAATTGGAGCATCTAATTGTTTTTGTGAACTCGAGTTTCAGCTTAGGGGATAATGGTTTTCAGCAGTTAAATCCAATCGACTTGTTTTGAATGCTAGCTTGTATAGAAGGTAGTTATAGGAGTTGTATAATTTTTTTGAAAATAAATAAAAGACATGCAGTCCACAACTTAAATTCATACTTGAATAGTAGAAAATACATAAATCATATTGTCGGACTCGGACCATATCAACATTCAAACTCGAACTCGAAAAAGCTTGAGTGTAGTTTGAGCCTCAGCTGAGCTAGATTCGCGTATGAACTGACTCGTCGTGCAACCATAAGTTTGAAACAGAGTTTGCATCCAGTTCAATGCAATATAACACCAAAATATTTCATGAATGCTTAATCTATATCAGAATGAACCTACTAAAACTTTTGAATATTTCGACAACCAGTAACTTCATGAGCTATCTAGCAAAACAAACGACCAACTGTTTTCCTTCAGTTGGCTGAATTGAACTTCACAAGCAATATTATTATTTTTTGTACAGTCGATTGCCATCAATTCCATGATTAAAAATCATACTCATCACCTAACAAATGCCCACTATCTACTAACGTCGAAAGTGTTTCTCGAGACTCAGCCAACACCCGTATTTTCGTTAAGCTGTACGACCACCTTAGAGATATGCTAAAATTAAATACGATACAATTCATCCAATACCAGTTACTAAACCATATTCTAGAGTATCAGAACTAAGCATCTAGCATCGGAAACACGAAAATTCAGAAAATCCCGCTAACAATATTTCGATCAATGAGGCAAAGCAAATAGTATATATCTTCTGTACAAATGCACCTCAAGAAATTTTCATTTCAATCCCGAAGATTTCGATACTAAAACCACTAGTTCAACTATGACAATTCATATCTGCACTTTTAGGGATTAAAAAATAACATCTCAAGCGCCAATCCAATTCGAAAAAAGTCATCAACAAAACGAATTAGCTCGAATAAACAGAGTTAAAATAGAAATGTACCATTATAAATGCGCGATGCTGTTTAATCCTCTTCTTCTCATTCCTTCTCTTCACACTTCCCTCGTTTGGTTGGTTAGCAGCTATAGGTTCCCCAGGTGTACATTTTACCCACGCATATGGACCTAAATTAATTTTCAAATGATCAATTTCACAAATCGAATTACAATGCAATATAAATTTTAAAATTATTCAGAAATTGTATGTCGAAAAACCCTAACTTTTTCCAAACCTGGGGGTTTTAAGCTGGCTCTTTTGCGGCGGGACCTGTCGCTGGGTCTACGTTTCGGGAGCCTAGTGTCCGTAAGGCTATGGAAGGCGCTGCAGGGAGGAAACCATGGCGGATTGCGGCGGAGTGGGGCGAAGAGGTGGCGGAGCTCCGGCCGAGAGGTGGTTGAGAAGGTTTTTGCTGCTGGAGAGAAATGAGAGGCGGGTATGAGGATTCTGGATACGGGTCGGATCATGGATCTTAGGGCTCCGAAACCCATGGCTTTATACTGATTTTGAATGTGAGCTGAGAACTGAGTTAGAAATGGCGTTTTGACGGCGTATTTTTTATTTTTTGAGAAGCGAACGACAAAGTAGAAGAAGCTCTACTATTTTTTTGGTTAATTTCATTTTGGACCCTAAATAATTTCTATTTCAATTTAAGTGCATTTAACTTTTAAATCGTGCCAATGTAGCCCCTTCAATTCATCCATCCATATGAATTGATCCTTTTGTGTGCAAATCATCCATTTTTTTTTTCACTTTTGTTCATGCAACATTTATGAATGTTACAAAATAGAGGATTATAATTGTCAAACAGTTTGTAATAAAGAAGTTTTATTGTAATGAATATCATATTATACTTACTCTAAATGATCTGTCATCAAGTAAATTGTTTGATTATGTTGCGGGCCAACAATATATATTACGTATCTCTTGTCAGTTGTCACAATACTAAATGAAAATTTGTCATCGGTCAATTACACTAGATATCATATTAAATCATTTCGGTTTGATCCATTATCAGTGAATATCATATAATGAAAACTGTAGTTTTGGTCCTCTACACTGGCTTATTTCAATTTTACATATACTAACTTTACAAATTTAGCATTTTTTGGTCCTATTTTGTTTCAAATTTTAGTTTAACGATTTGATTAATTATGTGGCCAACAAACTCATCGGAATTTACTTATACAAATATTTAAAAATTATAAACGATCCTCTAACGTGACTTATAAACTTGTTGTCTCACGTGATAATATTTATATTAAGACTTAGTTGCATGACGAATTTATAATTTTAAAAGTCCATGTAAGCAAAACCCATGATAAAAATAACAATTCAAGCAAGAAAGGACCAAAATGCTAGATTTGCAAAGTTATCGCATATGAAATTGAAATTGGATAACTTAAAAGGACTAAAACCATAAGTACGCCAACATAGAGGACCAAAATTACAATTTTTCCATTCTCCTTCACCCAAACAAAAAGACATATAACTAGACTTGCACCTAGTTTTACAGCAGGTCATCACAAGCATCAAAGGCAGTATCGAATGTATCCTTATTCTTTGCTCGATCGTGAAAAAATATCCCAGCTTCATTAAACAGAGACAACAAACATAAAAGATCATCATTACCAAGTTTTATCGGCCTCTTGTCCGAAAATCCGCCACATTCCAAAAGCCTCATGATTTCTCCCCTAAATGAGGTCATCGATGATGACGTGTCGTTTTCCAAGAACTTTCCGGAATCAGACAAGTTCATTAGCTCAATCAGTTTCTTCTTCTGCTTAAACGTTGCACCCAACGTTTTATTTTTCTTGCTGAAGCAAGTTCTTGTAAAAGCCCACCACTCGTTTAAATCCACGTTTGGGATCTCACTTTTAGGGTATATTTTGATAACCGATGAATCAACTTTCGGACATGGCACAAAGTCCCTTTTGCTGACATCCATTACAAACTCGACTTCGGCTACAAGCGTTACATTCACAGCTAATCTGTTGAATTCGGAGTCGCCTGGCTTTGCTAATAGCCTTCTTGCAAATTCTTTTTGAAGCAAGAGTGTCGCGCTTCTGAATGGATTTGTTTTCACCCCGTAAACCAATTTAGCCAATAAAGGAGATGATATATTATATGGAATGTTTGCTACGACAAGATTGAATTCTGGAAAATCAGTCTTTAATGCATCGCCACTGATAATCTGCAGAACCCAAGTTATGTGATAGCGTAAATATTCGACGTACAATATGAGAAATCTTGTGACGAACGATGTTGGAAGTTGAAGAGTTGAAAAAGTAAGGCTAAGATGATACTTCTTCAAAAATCTCGGCAAAGCCCATTTAGTCATTGTTTAACAGGCTGTGCAACTTCAAACACAAGGCTTGACATAATTTTCATTTGGGCATTTTGTCGAACAGGTATAGCATACTAATCAGACATAAAGAAAACGCTTGAAACAATTTTCATTTAGGCATTTCGCCGAACACTTAAGCATACTAATCAGGTATTAGAAAAACGCATGATACAAATCACAATTTTCATTTAGGCATTTTGTCGAACAGTTAAGCATATTAAAGAGTCATTAAGAAAAGAAACTCACATTGAGGCGGTCGTTGAATCCTCTCTCGGAGGTGCGTTTACGCAGTATCTCGACCATACGATTATCAATTTCGACGGCCACAACATTCTTGGCAGCTTCAAGGAGCTCGAGAGTGAGATTACCGGTACCAGGTCCGATTTCCAGAACAGTATCATCGGATTTTATATTCGAAGTTCGGACAATGCAATCAAGAATTCTAGGGTTGGTAAGAAGATGCTGGCCTCTGCTCTTGAACAAACGTATATGCTCTTCCTTTTCTTCTTCGTTACTTTCATGTCTTTCGGCCTTGCTTTTCCGGCCAACATCGCCGCCGTAGCCATGGCTGGGCTTGGTCCGTAGGCAGCGGTGGAAAATTTGTCGCCAAATATTGTCCGAAAGAGCTTTTTGCAAATGGAGCATTCAATTTACTTTTTCTGCTTTAATTTCTCTTTTTTATTTTTATTTTATTTCTGGAGAATGACTGAAGGAATGAAGTGAGAATTCGGTTGGGAAAAGGAGGGAAATTTAAGTTGATAACAAAATATTGGGCCTTATAACAAGTCTTAATGTGAAATGGGCCTTATATTTTGCCGGTTCCGATTTGAAAAAAATCCAATTTCGGAACGAGAAATTATGAATTAATTTAATTTTCATTTTTTTTGAAGTTAGGATGAATTTTTGAATTTCCATTTTGCCGAACGAGTGGGACCCATTTTTAATTCACAAAAAAATTGGAAAATTATGAAGATGCTTTTTACGATCTGTTTCGTCCGATTTCCACCCCTAGCTATGGTCGAAATATGCGTTTATTCAAATTAATTGACAAAAGGGGGAAATACATTAATTGAATTGAATTAATTTTCTTAATTTTTTTTTAAAACTGCATCCACCGACGCTAACGGAAATGAGTGATTAAAATTGACGGAGGAGCAACGGCTATAATTCATGAACATTGACGGCGTTAATCAATTATTTGGAGGCAAGTGGCTGGGCCCAAAAAGATCCATTTCATAAGAAGGGTATTGGTCAAATAATTTATTCTAAATTGACCCATTTTTGTCAAGAGATGGCCCGAGCATATTTGCGTTACAGATTTATTTATTTATTTTCTTTTCTGGATCCTTTTTTATATGTTATTTTATTTTATTTATTTAAGTGAACTTAAAAAATAAAAATATTATCATTTTCCAACGGATAGTTAAAGGGATTTGCTTTTTACCGTTTGAAAATTGCTATTTACCGTTCAAAGACTCTCTTTCTCTCTCTCTCTAAAAAAATTCGCTCTCAAGACGATTTCATCACAAATCATACTTATTGGTGTGATATACGAACATAAATGAGTTCATCGGATGAAGATCTGGATAGCGGACACAACGAGGTAAAAATTCCGTCTTTTCGATCGAAAAAAATGGGCTAAACGTTTAAAAGCCCAACTCGGGCGCC